GACGGGGATGTAGCGTCGAGAGGCGTAGAGTTTTAACAATCATAGTTTAGGGTAGGGCTCGTGGGACGGAGCCCATCGAGTGCGTCTCAAGCCAGAAGCACATGTGCATCCCATCTACAAGAGATCTGAGCAAATCATCAGCAGAATTAACGTAGAAAGAAGGCGGGGTGAGGATCGTGAAGGAAAGCAAGACACATTGCCACGTATGCGTCGAAATAGACGCCCTCTTTGACGGTCAGCGCTTTCCATGTCGGGGTCAACGAGAGTCGCTCCCGTCTGTTCCCTCGACCCATGCCCTCTCTCCCTGACTTATCCTCAATCGCTCCAAGCAGCGACTAGTAGCAGCTGTCTATTCCGCGCACACCGTAGTCCTATGAATAGTGCAACCAGGATCTTGCGAGTCTCAAGGCCTCGCACATGCTTTGTGAATATCGTGTACACTGCCGAGGGCTTTGCCCGTACGACTGATACGGTGTTGGACATAGCGGAGACGTTGATAGGGACCGTGTCGGATAGCAAGGGATGCCGAGTCGTTGTATCGCTTGTTCGGCGCCGCGCACCCGTCCTTCGTGAATAGACCTTCGTTGTCTACCTATGAGTAGCTACCGGCACTGGCGATCTGGAGCTGGGCGGTCGACTTGTCGTGCTTGTCATGAGAGCGGGTCTCGAGGCAGGCCTGCTCCTCGGCGATCTGCTTCTCGAGCTCGGCGATAGTGTTGACGCCTGGTGCTTGGTCGCGAGGTGTACACCTCTCGGTGGAATCCGGATCATGCACAAGAATGGTGTCTCGCACTTGACTGCTAGTAGCGACTTGGACATAGCATACATATATCCGCATCTTGTCTAATGAAAAGTAAATGGTATCAAGTAATAGCGCAAGATACATACCTAACTACCATTGCCGGGATCCATCCGCGCAGATGCGAGATGGCCAGATTCCGTCAGGCGAGATGGGAGTTGGCCAGTATTAGGCGGTGCTTGCGGTTTCCGGAAGGGGCAGGCCAGTTTCGGGCGCCGTGGCCATGCGAGACCATGGTTTGCTAGTTTTGCTGATGAACAGGTTGTCCGACCGCCTGTGCTACCTCGGCAGCCTCCTTGACTTGCGAGCGGAGTGCGCCTACAATAGGGGAGGTCAGAGTGCGCGATTCTGAAGCGATTCTCCAAGCAATTCTGAGGCGATTCTTGATATCTGAATCGTGTCGAAATCGCGGCCTACTCTGACCACCCCATACCGAAGGAAGATTCTGGGAACGATTATGGTCGCGATTCTGGGGAGGATTCTGGGGGAGGCAGAATCGCGGACAGCAGAATCGCGATTCTGGAGGGCAGAAGCTCCTCCGGAGGAGCTTCTGCGATTCTGCGCGATTCTGCCAAAATCGCGATTCTGAGAACAAAATCACCTCCAGAATCGTCCTCCAGAATCGTCCCAGAATCGCCCCGTAATCGTGCACTCTGACCACCCCTAATAATCTTGCGGATCAACGCGTAGTCTTTCGATGATCCTCCATATCGCCTCGGCAATTTCATCTGAAGGATCCAGAGATGCGCGTCGATCGAGTCGGCATTTCGCGAGACGACGAATGCATCGACGAGAGGACAAGAGGAGGTAGGCGTGTAGTAAGTGTCGTAGCTGATGGTGTTTGGAAAACAGGAGATGTCGAACGGCGTGGTCTGTTCGACCTTGGGCCAAGGCGGAAGAACGCTCGAGGGCTCGGAGCGCGAAGAACGCTCAGCCCGCGCGGTGAAGCCGGACCAATCGACGACGAAGGCTGCAGTCTTGGTGTCAGTATATAAGGCCATCCTCCTCAGATCATGATCGTCGATGCAGCCTCTCGAGACGATGATGCGGTGGGCAAGCGCCTCGAAAAACCACGATGTGAACGAATTCCGTTGAGGCCGGGTAACAAACTGCAGCATCGCGTCGCGCAATTGTTGCGCCCCCTCCTTCTCATAAACGGCCACTATTTGCTTAGCCATCCAGGAGGACTTGAAGTCGATCATCAATTCCAATGGGTGGCCCAGCGGCACACGGGGGTAAACGACAACGGCCCGGTGAGAGGGATGGTTCATGGTCAAGTATATGTCACCTCTGACCGCGGTGAGCATTTTCGTCAGTCTTTCACATCCACCACCGAATGCCGCCATATGCATGCTTTGGACGCGGTGAAAATCCTTGGTGATTGCTGAGTAAACGTCCCGGGGAACATGACCGAAATGCGCGATCGCATGGTCTAGGATGGTATTGAAGGCTTCGTCGAGAGATTCAGGGGGATCTTCTCCGTAAACCGATCGGAGGTGTGCGAGGACATCTGTATTCTGGTGCACGAGTGCGGGAGGGGTGGTCCATGACGCCAACTGGTGCTACGATTCATTCCTGATGCCGGCGAGCCCACGTTGCAAGGGCAGCCTGGCCTAACGAGGAGTGAAGACGCGCAATTACACGCTACGTCGGAAATGCACGCACCCTTGCCTAAGCTCCTCAATAGACCACAGCGGAAACGCAGTGATGAGTGGGCACCGTCTGTCCTGCCATTTAATAGCTCGTAGGATCAGGGTATGGGGCTTAGATTGGAAAACACGACAAGGTGTATGCAAAAGTTGGGACGACGTCGCCTTTGGCGAGTTCGATAAGTGACCATATGAAGCTGTATCGTGGATGCCGTGGAAGCACTGCCTGGTACCCGGTGCGCATGTAGACTCCGTCGAAATAAAAAAGCAAGCACAGGGAACCGGGGAAGTGTAGTGTTGTGCAAGGCCGGGCTCAAAGCCCTGAAGCCCCGGGTACCCGGCCCCCAAAAGCCCGGCCCGGCCCAGCCCGGTGTCGGGCTTTCAGGGCTTGGGGCCCGGCTTGAATGTCTGCAAGCCCGAGCCCAGCCCTCAAGCTCCCAGGCAGGTCGTCTGGATACGGTGGCCCGTTCTGACATAGAGCGCGAACATGACGGATTGCTTCTATGAGGGGAGATGCTGCAGGAGAAGCATAGAAGCGTGCTAGGAAGCGTCGCGAAGAGTATAGGATTTGCAGAAGACGACGATCCGCAAATCCCAATAGTGCGAGCTGCGTATTATGTCATGGGCGCCTCACACACGAATTGGACTTCGCGCTCGTCATATTGTCCTCTACTTACTTCCTTGCATGCAACCAGTACCTCCCATTATCTTAACCATGCCTGTACTGTCCCCCAGTCTCTCGCCCCGTGCCCTCTCTCCGCCGCTCAGTTATGCATATCCTCCGTCTCAATCACCATCGCGTTCCGGGTCCCCGTCTCGCTCTCGTTCTCCCGGTCGTTCTCGCTCTTTGTCCGAGCATCCTGACTCCCGCTATCGCGAACCATACCCCTCTCGCCCGCACTCACGCTCACACTCCCAAATGACACCATATAGCTATAGCCCCACATTGTCACGCCCGCGGACCTCCCATAACTGGGATGGTCTACCGCGCAGCGCAACACATTCCGATTTTGCTTCTCCTTCATACCCGCACTCTCAGCGGTTTTCTTCAAATCAAGAACACCACAATCTGTATACAAGTTCGTCTGCGACCTTTGTGAGTCATCATTTGGCGCATAGTAGACACGCATATATTGACCTTCGCATAGGGACCCTCGACTTCACCTCCTGATTACGGTGGCTCGCACTTCAATGGGCCATCCATGGACATTGTAGTGCGCATGCAACGCTACGAACAAGACCAATGGGATCTCCGGCACGTACTCTTCGCGCATGAGGGCGGTGTGGATCGCTCTGACCAATTGCTCCGTAGCCGTCAGCTCACAAATCTTCAAACCTACGTCGACGATCTCAAGTAAGCTCTAACGTTCATTTGACCTGTGTTTATGCCTGATACTGATGACAACCACATGTACAGACACGAAATTCGACGGATCAAATCATCAGACAACAGTGACGACGTCCGCGGTCAGTAACATTCAGCTCCCACATTCTCTGCAACTGATCTAGCCCATAGCCAACCTCACGTATCTCCTAATGGAGTCCGTCAAGCCCATTGACTCCCTGAAACCGGAGGAAGAAGAGCCTGGTGAAGATCATGTGCGCCACAGAGAGGACTTCCCAAATGTACGTCCCCACACATGCCAGCAGATATCGCTTACTGACCTATTCCTTGTCCCTCTACGTCTCTACGTCTAAAGATCAAATTTTTCACAGCTCGGGACTGGACCGAGTACAAGCGCGACAACAAGAAATCGACGCGCGATGGCGAGCCTGTGATCCGCGGGAAGGCTAAGTCGTCACTGGGCGAAAACCACACCGCTCTATACCTCGAACGCACTGATGGCCAGCCCGCCGACGGCGACTACGTCAACGACGCGCGCAAATTTGCGCGCACGTTGATCAACCTTGCCCTCACGTCAAAATACAAGATGCCCCGAAAGTGGAGTGAAGCTGACATTTGGTTCCAGGAGTTATTCTATACCGCCCTTCGCAAGAGATTTCCTCTATTTCAGCTCTGCCACAACAACGCAAAGGGAAACTTCTCTATGACGCAGGCATACTACGAGGCGGTCACACGCAAATGGGAGAACATTCGCCCCCAAAACTTGGACCTCGAAAACTCAAAATATACGATCAAGAGCCATTCCGCCTCGGGCGAAGACGACGACGAGACTGTCGACGTGCGCGACACGACGAAGGCTTCAAAGCCCACCACCAAGCGCCCCCCCACGACGGTGATCACGCCTCCCAGACCTGCCAAGGCCGCCCGCACACAGGGCCAGGACGCCGAACCGGAACTTTGTAAGGTCCCTTTGAACTTAATGGATGAGAACAATGTACGCTAACCTACTAACCTGAAAACCAATTTTTGGACAGCGCGCCAAACCCCTGGCAAGGGTAAAGGGCGCGCTGGGCCTAGTCTCCTTGCCATCGTAAGTCTCTCCTTGGACCGCGTGGCTTCTCATGATCTCACCTTCTTTTCTGTAGATGGCCACCTCCGCGTACGATATGTCGTCGTATACCATGTTTGCAGCCACTCATGTACCTTGCCCAACACAAAACCGCCGTCCAGCTCGAACCGCGCGCGCCAAGTACCACGTCGGCCCCCGCCTTGGAAGTCGCGGCTCTCGAAACGTCCACTGTGGATATGGCGGGCCCTAGTTCCACACTGTCCGTGTCTCCTTGTATGCCCTCTACATTGCAAGCTCTCCAACTAGCATCAACATCTTCGTCTGCATCACAACTGATACCCACTGCATCACAACTGATACCCACTGCATCACAACTGATACCCACTGCATCACAACTGATACCCACTGCCTCGCAACCAATACCAACTGCATCGCAAGATTCCGTCCCCCCCATACCCATCACAACCACGACAACATCCCCATCCTTTGACACGACCTCCACGACACCGAACATCGTACAAGATCCCACACTCGCTTCCATAGAGGCGGTGCCAGCAACGCCACCTGTTGCCGAGAAGTCCACGACCAAAAAACCTCGCGCCCCGCGCAAGTCTCCACAGTGGCCTCCGCCGGCGAATTTGCATGGAGACAAGTACGTAACTTGCAGCTGCATGAGCCCTGCTAACCTTTCGTTCGGCTGTTCACAGGTGGGTGTATGCACGCCAGTGGTACGCAAACACTGGTGGGACAGAGGCGGAATTCGAGGTGCGGTACAAGGCCATGACCCCCACGGAACGCAAGGTATGTCACTGTCGCACATGCGCTGAGTCTGTGCTCATTGAAATTGTCACACAGAAGGCCGCACGGGACTCTGCCTTATGAACTGTAAGTATCCAATGAACGTCTTTGAGTCCCATTACTGAAAGCGTCAGGCACAGGTACGCGCTGCGGGAGCGTCGACGTCGGGAGATGTCTCTTCCGTTTGTGCGTTCATGATGTGGGTGTCTACTGCAGCTGAGGGTGACTAGAAGTCACAAGGTCCCGCTGCGTCCAACTGTTTTCTGTGAGAATCGATTGTAGCCGTACGGGGTCGTGTAGCCATACGACTGTATACCTATGAATACAGGGGTTTTCTGATAAATAGCAATAGTGTGGTTCGTATGCAATCAACTATAAGCGAGTGATTCCGACCGCAACCAACTGCAATCAACAGTTTACCACGACATCCAACCCACATCGACGCTGATTGTACTGTGCCGGGTCAGTATACGACTATGGACAAGTATATGCCATGAAAGTCGTGGAAATTCCAGGATTCTGTATTAAGTCGGAGTTTCCGACTACATACAGTTCAAATCGGCTGAATTCAGCGGAAATCGACTGAGTCCATGTCGACTCTCACTGGGCCTCAAGCCCGGGCTTGAGGAGGACCTCTGTATCTGACCGCGTAGGGCCTTGAACAACCGTCCGAGAAGGTCGATGGCGACTGACCTCTCAGCAGTTCCCCTGAGGCTTGCGTCATACGTCGCAACCACGACTGGCACAACTGGCTATGATGCGACTTCACGCCCTCGCTGCGGGAGGGGACGCCGATCTTTTGAAGCCAACATGCATCGGAGGATCGCCCCATGAAGGATAGCATGGCCCGGCTAAGGCTAGGTCGCGATCGTGCATGTGGTCCACCGGTCACGGGTTTCCTGCCTCCTCGCGTTCTACCTTCCATCGGTTTTGCAGAATCGAGCAGCAGACCGCTGTCGTACACGGTCTGTGGCGATTCACCGCGATGTCCTCATGCACGGTCGTGCACCAGGAACGCGGTAGGTGTTCGTGACCGCTGCGTCGGGGAGGAAGGTGGGTATGCATGCTGCTCGATATCGCCCTGTCAAGTATAAAGCTCTAGAGAAGGGCTGCCTTTCGTGTGCTGCATATCGCTTCGGCTACCCTCGAAGAGTCGGTTGCGAAGTTCAGCTCCATCTCCCCACACATCTGCCGTCTTCTCGAGCTGCACAGTATGCGGTTCTCCGTCCTCGCGCCCCTACTCTCTCTCGCCGCGTTCGCATTCGCGACACCGAACCCGCTCCCGGGTGGTAGTGCGTATCACACTCATGTTTGGTTTGCTCGCATACCAATCCATTGACACCATATCCACCTGCACTCTACCAGGCACCGTCGTCGTCCGCGACCCCGCGATCTGGTACAACTCCGCGTCGAAGAAGTACTTCGTCTTCTCCACCGGAACCGGCATCCAGATCTTCACCTCGACCTCCCTCCTCGGGCCCTGGACGAACGTCGGTTCCGTCCTGCCGAACTGTACCGTCATCCCCATCTCCGTCCCCAAGCCCTGCAGCCTCTGGGCGCCCGACATCAACTTCGTGAACGGGCAATACGTGTTGTACTACGCCGCGTCGGCGCTCGGGAGCCAGAACTCGGCGACAGGGGTCGCAACGAGCCCGTCGATGGAGCCGGGCACGTGGACGGACCACGGCGCGGTCGTGACATCTGCGAATGGGGACGAGTTCAACGCCAGTACGTCTTGTGCCTCCCTCTGGCCCCGAATACCCCCATCCCCATCCCCCCCTCTGTGATGGTTGATGTTACGCCATGCCCCAGTTCAAGTCAACTGACATGTTGCGCCTTCGACAGTCGACCCGAACCTGATCGTCGCGCGCGGCCAGCTGAAGCTCAGCTTCGGCTCCTACTGGGACGGCATCTTCCAGATCCTGCTCAACAGTGTCACCTCGCCGGCGGAAGCGCCCTCAGGCGTCCCGCTCGCGGGCTACAGCGGCCGCCCGGCCGAGGGCGGGTTCACGTACAAGCCCGCGAGCCCGCCCTTCTAGGCATCACCCCGCTCACGGGCGTATGTACCTCTCTCCCTCCCTCCTCCTTCTCCCCCCGTCCGCACGTGCGCTGACCCGATCGTCCCGCCCCAACACACAGGCGACGACGCGCCCGCCCGCGGGGCAGGAGTACAAGGTGCTCGTCGGGCGCGGGCCCTCCGAGTCCGGGCCGTTCGTGGACGCGGCGGGCAACGCGCTCACGCTCGACGTCACGCCCGCGGCGGGCACGCTCGTGCTGGGGTCGCACGACAACGTGTACGCGCCGGGCGGGCAGAGCGTGTTCAGCGACCCGGTGAGCGGGCGGGACGTGCTCGTGTACCACTACGTGCCGAACGACGCGTTCGGGGGGCCGTCGTATTTGGGCATCAACTATCTCGACTTCTCGTCGGGGTGGCCGGTCGTTGTTAGCTAGGATGGTTGGGGGTGGTGTTGTAATGTATTGGGTGTATTATATGGCATCGAATGCTATTGTATGTACCTACCGTATGAACAGGTGCTCCTCTGGTCTATTGGGTTAGGTTGTTGCGCTATAACCTTGTGCGCAAGACTGTCTCCAGATTATCTCTTATCTCCAATGACGTACGCGGCCCTGGGGCGATCTCAAATTCTGTTAGGCGCCTGTGAAACGAACGCCATGAGGTGCAAGCGATGCCTGGCTGTACTCGGATTCCTACCACACGGTACTTGGGTGGATACACTCGACTCTGTCTGACTCTTTCGACACCCCAAATTGGGCAACGATGACCAGTAGACTCCCAAAGCTCATCGCGTTCGACTTAGAGTAAGTGCCTGGGGGGAACGACGAGGCCGACTCCCACAGTAACCCGTTTCTGACCAGCTGATCGCATTGGAACCCGTACCAATATCGGTACCGCAGCTACACTCTCTGGGATTTATGGATAGACACCCATATCGATCGTAAGTGCTTTTCTAATCCTGGTCACGCTGGATGTTGCATTGAAGCGAGATATGTCTTCTTTCCAGCTCCTATTCGCCGTCCGGGTGATGCGGTAAACGAGCTCCGAGACAGGTGCGCTCCCTTGTCCCTCCGGGTCCTGAGTGCACAGCGCTTCGAGATCTCATGCGTGTGGCAGGTACAACCACAGGATAGCGTTCTATCGGGACGTGGGCGGAATCCTGCATCGGCTGCGCGAGGGCGGGGTCACGATAGCGGCGGCGTCCAGGACGCATGCTCCCGATCTGTGCGTGGACGGAGCACCTCCTGCGTATCCGGATATCTGGATGTATTGACGGTGTCGCGCGCTGCGCCGTAGTGCTAGGCAGGCGTTGGGCCTGCTGCTCGTTCCGCCGCCGCCGGGACACAAGGGAGAGGCGCCGACTCCCGCGATCCAGTTCTTCGACCAGCTCGAGATCTATCCTGGTGCGGCCCGTCCATTAGTGCTGAGCGACGATGTTGATGTCGAGCTTCCGCCCAGGCTCCAAGATCATGCACTTCAAGGAGCTGCATAAGAAGACCGGGCTTCCATACTCGGAAATGGCGAGCGCAATCTCTCACTGCCGATCAGATTCCCAGGCCGTCTTCGCTGACCACTGCCCTCACAGCTGTTCTTCGATGACGAGCACAGGAACAAGGAGGTCGAGTCTCTGGGTGAGCGCTCCGCCCGTCCGCGCGATGCCTTCTAGCTGATGCATGGCGCTGACTTCTCCTGGGACGCGGATAGGAGTCACATTCTGTCTCGTTCCGAGCGGCGTGAACGACCGCTCGTTCGAGCAGGGGCTGGCTGAGTGGCGGCGGCGGCATCCGGTCGAGGTCACAGAAGATGCACCTGGAGGTGATGCCGCAGGCCTCGAGTAGACTCTTGCTGTGGTGGGGCATACTCGTCTTGCGGGTGTACTCACTGCAGCGAAGTCCATATGACATGTTCGAGACGCAACTGTGTGGCACCACAGCTCGTGTTCCGCTAGTGGAGTCTTCGACAATGGGAATGTCGACTTTTGTGAGTGACTGCACACTATTGCTGACATGCGTGTAGAGCCAACCCGAACAAATCCGGGAGTCTGTTGCTAAGCAAGATGCCATATTGACTGATAAAGTCTGCGCAGATGCTTGGTAGATGCCCGGAATATGCCTGCCTCTGTCTATCATCCCAAATGTCGACGACGCAAGTAGGACCTGCTTGATCCGGCGCCAGTCAGCCCGATGGGTGATCCGCGCAAACAGGCTGTAGCTTAGCGTTGATGGTTAGAAGCCTCACCTGAGCTGGGAAGACTGGTGCCCCGCAGACGGCAGCGCGGAACCAATGACCTGATACTCCAGTGAGACCACATTCATCCCGAACGACGAATGGTGGAATGCGGGGCTCCCAAGACAACGTTCTATCCCAACCTGACTCAGTCGGAGCGCGCGACGCTCTGCGTCTGCTGTGCGCTTGACGTCCATCTATCCCGTCAGACCCAGCCGCTAGTACTACGGAGATGGCTCCTGCATCTTGATCTGCTGCCTCGTGTTACGAGTCATCCAGCTCCTTTTCCGTCCGCAGTGGATAAGGTGGCACCCTATTTCCACCTCGCCGCCAGGATATTCGGTTAAAGAAGTGGAAACCTTTGTACTGCAGGGCCTCAAGGCTTGTCAGGCGAGCTTCGACACCTCCATTTTCCGCTGCTTCTCTGAAACCATGAATACGTATATGGGCACTCGCGCCGCTGTAGCGGCGTGACGGGTAGCATGGGGCAAGGAGAATACCTCCGTGTTTTATTGTTGCGAGATGTGTCACCTGTGTTTACTTATGGGGTATTGTGAAAGGGGCGGAGCGGCAACCTTGCAGGGTGGCTGCAGAGCTGAGAAAGCAGCTGAGATACCTGTAAAACGTGGGAACGTGGCGAGATGTGGTGAACCGAGTATATGGGCAAACTGACAGGACGGCCTGACGCAGATATCGCAGTCGTGACTATCATCACGGAAGCTGGAGATGGAGTACGGGATGCAGGAGATGCAGAAGATGCAGAAGAATCGAATCATTCAGCAGAATGGGGAAGGAAGGAGCTCGGGCGGCGGATGCCTTGGTGCGTCTAAGCGACTCGGGCTATGCCGTGCCTCAGACTGGCATCAAACGCTCATGATGCCCTTTGCCATACTAGCTATCGGCGTCTATACGCCGACAAAAAGGTCTGCAAACTTTTCGCCTCCTCTCCCCACCCCTACCACAGGCTTCGCGCCGTCGATACCCCCTTTAATGTCCCATACTTTCGCATCTACTCGTTTCGTTGCTCTTTGGTTTCCAGCATGTCTCGTAGATCCTCCTCCTCGACCTTGCCCGAGCACAACGACGTAATGCTCACGCCGGACATCCTCATAGGTGCCCTGCATGACCTTTCTACTCGCCTTCGACAGTACTTCCCTTCTACCGTGCGCCTGGTCGTTCACGGTGGAGCCATAATGGTCCTCCATCCCATGCTCGCGTGCCGCGGAGGAACCCGCGACGTCGACTTCATCAAACGCTCGTTCGAAGCCGAGTGGATCGCGCTTGGTGTAACTGACGCTGGTGCCCGCCTGGCCACCTGCATCAAGGCCACCGCGCGCAAATTCCATCTCGGCGCGGACTGGATGAATTCTGCCGCGGACGTTGCACTCCCCATGGCTTTTGAGTAAGTGTCACTCAGAAATTTTCTTCGAGCCACGATGAAAGCGCCCAACTGACTCACCTTTGTGCGCAGCGCATATGGAAAAACATACGACCCCATCTATACAGATGCCGTATCCCCCGCGAACATGAGTATTAGCACTCTCTTCACTTCCCCCGGCCTCGTCATCATTGGCGTGAGCTGGGCTTGGAGTATTGCGCTCAAGCTCGTGCGCTACGACAAACATGATCCGCAGGACATTGCGAGCATCCTCCGGCTCGGACGCAATCAGCGGAACGTCAAGTGGACTCGTTCCCTGCTCGAGAGCTGGCTTGTCCAGGAATGCGGCGCTATGGGATACGCTGCCTACGCGCCATGGCAAATGGAGGCCCTCAGAAAAAAGATGCGCAACGCCATCGAACTAGCATATCACCCCCCTCCCGCCGTGCCTCAACTTGGTCCTGTCCGAGTGTATTGAGCTGCGCGTGTGGACTGCTGCTAGATATACTTTTCCATCATACTCCTGTTCCGCGGCCTGTTTCGGTCTGCTTTTTGTATCGTTATCATTTTCTTTGCTGTTGTCCTTGCTCTGTTGCTAGTTGCTCAGACTCCCTTACCTCGACGCTTCGCCCTTCACGCGCCATCCTCCACGCTATCCCCATCCCCTATTCCTCGCCCACGTTACCCTAGTATTACTGCTGATGATTCTACCACGGACATTATACCCTAATGCTACCACGGTAGTCACGACTGGTACGATACTACATACGACTCCTGTTCATACGATTGTTGCTACGATTTCACGACCCCGTTATTCCCACATCTTCTCGGATGCCCTATACCCTGTGTGAAGCCGAGGATGTCAATCACTCGATATCTCATCTTCCCGTAATGCGCGGTAGCTGGTGATAACATCTTAGCATTAACGTAACTCTAGATGGCGTCCCAGACAGCCGGCTATTCGAAGCCTTTACAGTAAGTACATGTGTAAATGTGAGACTGCGCGCATACACGCAAGCGTCCTGGACTGTCCATGAACTCCACGCGCAAGAAACCGCTCACCAAGTGAGATCCCAATGCCCTTGTGCAGTCCGGATACTGTACTGTACTGTATCAGGGCCTTCGTATGTGTCGCACCTCGACGTCCAAACGCCATCGACCTGTGCCAGCCAACCGTTTCGCCGGCACCGGACCGGGTTGCGGATGCTACTCAAGCATCCGCCGGGCTTCGTGGGCGGCGCGCGGCTCGGGCGCAGCGAAGCACCAGAAGGCGGCACCCTCGTCTCACGACCGCACCACTTGCTCCCACTTGCGCAAGCAGGAGTACATGTTGTTGTCTGTTCCGAACGTCCCGCGGCGGGGTCTCAGTCAGCCCGGCGTTGCTCAGTGGAGGCCCCACACCGCGCTCCGACGGCCCGGACCAGGCGGGGGGGATTCGGGGACGACTCACCGAAGCTCTGATACTGCGTGCACGAGCAGTTGCGTTCCTGCCGCACGCTGTGGAGGCGCGGACAGTGCATGAAGGGCGGGTGCTGATACCCGATGTCGTCGAAGAAGTGAATCTGGTCTTTGCGGGCAAAGAGCGCGGCGCCGATGCTGTGGACAGGGGCGTCGCCCCAGCGCTGTTGGTGGCGTGTCAGCGGAGGGTGATTACAGGGAGCGCCGTTGACATTAGGTGACGTTTGAGAGATAATGAGCAGGGCTGGCTGAGCGCGAGGACAAAACGTTTCCCACCTCGTAATAGAACCCGCCCTTGGACTCCAGGTGCTCGAAGAACTTGCTGTACACCTCACCGCGCCAAAACTCCATGTTCGCGATCTCGAAATTACTCCAGACTGTACACCAGCGGTTAGGGTGCGAGAGCGTGTACGAACCGCAAGACGTAGGACGTACAGTGACACATGTTATAAGAGTTGCCGCCGTCGTCGGAGAGGAAGGCCATGGAGTTGTTGGGAGCTACATGTTGCGGGTTCGCAGCGATGTATTCTGTCACATACGCTAATGTTGAGGAACGCGGAACACTAACTTCATGGTAGCCTTACCTTTGACGGCATCCCACAACGTCGGAACTGTTGGTGGCCACTCTTGTAGAGAGATGGTAAAGCCTCCAATGACCGACGTGTAAAAATCGAGCATGGGCAGCGAGCAATCCGCACTTACCATAGACCTTGTCATGCTCTTCCATGAAGAGGAAAGGGTCGTAGTCGGTATCGCAGTGGAAGCTGACACCAGGTCTGTCGGCAGATGAGACTTCTATCAACGTCAACGGGGGAATGGAGCGTGACGTACTCAACTCGCCAATACCACTTGTAGCGTTGCGCGAGAGGATGCCTGTAGAAGAACTGCACTGATGGTAAGCCACGTTTGGGAAGAACGGGACGGACGTAGCGCCTTACGCCGGAGTTGAAGCGGCACATGTTACGATAGCTATATGAAGTGTTAGAGACGGTGCACCGGAATATTTGTGGCAATGTTCACTGACGAGACGCTGCCTAAGACATCGCGAAACATAACGTCAATTGAGTACATATTTGATTATGAATGCCATCTTACCTCCGTATACGACATTGTTGGCTTCCATCTGAGCTCTACTCGCAGCAGCTTTCTCCTCGTCTATCCAGCCTGGCTGATACCAGTCTTCCTTCGGGATCAGTCCAAAGGAGACTGGTCCGGCAATGGCGGCGCTCATCTTTCTAACGTGATCGTCAAGCATAATGAGTCTCATACTCGAAGTCAAGACTCACTCTTTGAACTCGTCAGTGAACGGGACCTCGTTCAGAAAAATCCAAGGATAGCCAAATCGATGGTTGAAGCGGTCTTCGAGCTGAGTGACGCTCCGTAAGGCACCTTCTAGCTCTGAGTTGCGCACGAGCATGAGGAGGACCGCGTTGGCTCGTCGTGTGCCATTAGAGCCGAGCTCGTACTCGGAGAGCCCTTCGGTGGATGCGGGAGCGGTCCCCGGATGCGAGGGGAAAGTGGTAGCGTTGGTCAAATCAACGTTGGTCTGGTTACCTAATGGCCATTGGAAATGGATGCGGTAGCGAGATACTGAGGTAATGTGTGCGTAATCCGGCTTTAGATGGCGAAGGAGGGAATGTAGAGAGAACTACAAACGGCAAAGGAGCAGTGTCAGATGGCAATTGCTTTCCACTAGACTCAGAGGCGTACTCACAAGAAATGTCATGGCCAACGCCATCCACAAAAGTGTCCGGTTGATTCTGTATGTTCGGTGCCAGAGTGTCCGGGAGTAGCATTCTCTGCAATGAATGGGGAGCCAGGAAGACATGTCGATGGGGTCACTTCGAGGATGGGTAGTGTAATAAGCCACAATGCAGGCACGCAAGCTGCTGAGCCGCGCCGCGCAGTCGTCCGTGTCACGGGAGTCTGGACGGTCCGCAGTCGAGCGGTCCACACGATGTTCGGAGGTGCATTGCTACAAAGGGGCGGCCAAGTTTGTTCCATAAATGTGATACATGCGAACTTACCTTGGGACCGGAACGGTGAAGTCGTTAGCCCTGGAGACAAAACATCGCATGATAGGGTTGCAACATACGAGGCGTCGCAGAACAGGGATATTTCTAGTAGAACTCAGTCCTCTCGGTCCCGCCTGCAGATCGAAGAGGGATCATACGACTCGCTGAATGCCGGCATTGCGCTGCGATTGGCCGACGTTCGGAGGCACCTTTCAGTAAGAATAAACCTTGAAGCTGACAGCTCTCGTCCATAAATAACCTTCATGGAGCGCTGCGCAATAACTGCTGCGTTGGGCCAGCCAATCTCATCGCGAGCTGGTACAACTTGCGCAGTAGCATATCGACTCGGACCGTTTCCTCGCCGTCTCCGACTACATAGTGTCACTGACAGCAGAACGATAAGCCAGCCTGTGGGTCAAGCTTATCTCAGGTCCCATGAACAACTATGCCCATGGTCCCTATCGTGAGAAACGAGTGGCTACTCGGACAGCAGAACGCACCGTACAAGTACATAATAGCGTTTGTTCGTTGAAGCGTTGAAGCGTTAAAGCGTCGCATTGCCACTGCCAGCTGTCGTGGCGCCCCTTGCTGATCTAATCACGATGGGATCTGAGTTGGACAACTGTGCTGACTCCGCCACAAATTGCTTTGCAGCAGTCGAGAAAAAGTTCGTCATAGAACGCCCGCAAGTCTGAGGACGAACACCCAAGTGTGTATCTTCAGATTCGTTCGTAGCAGTGTGTATCGAACTTATGCCACGTTCGGTACCTCGGGATAGAGTAGGATAGGTTTAGTTTTCCCTGCAAAATCGCCGTAGCCGCTCGGGGACCCACTCCCATCGCTGAGCGGCCAGGGCGATTTTGGCTGGTTAACTAACCCCATCTTGATCCTATCCGACGTACCGAACGTGGCCTTATATTTCGTGTTCTAATGTCCGTAGCGATGATTTGGAGACACACAGATGTCTGAGGAGAAACGAGTAGAACATGACCACATGTGGCCTACCAGTGCTGATCGCGATTCGCCTTCTGCGATCTCTACAAGGACCAACTTCAAGTTCATACCGGCAATCTGCAGATAAAAATACTTCTGCAGCGCCAGCTGTTGATCATGAACGGCTCGTGTACTAAGGTTCAGTCAAAGGTGGACATCTATACCGTCTTTGCTGAGATAGTCGACGGTCCTCGGCCAATCAATTGCCAGATCCAGAGCCTTGTGACTGGCAGTTATAGAGGCTGCGGTGACACTTCACTCCCGGGAATGAACAGACATTGCGCACAAGGCCACATCTGTCCACCGCGTGGTTTCGGCGCACCACTACCTAGTCAAACGGTGCATCAATAAGAGGTCTCTACTTCCCCCCTCCCAGCAGTATAGACACATTGCTCACCATGATTAGAGGCAACTCCGATGCTTCGTACCCGTCACAAGACAGCCAAGCCAAGCCAAACCAATCGCATGGTCTCAAACCCAAGATCTACACTACGCTTCGAAAGGTCCACCGTGTCATCGACTTGATGTTCGCAGTAGCACAGCCAGTAGTCTGCCAGGTAAGTATTGCAGTACAGTAACTTGGAACGTGTGCTCAGATTGTCATTTTTAAATGTCAGAACACCAGAGTGGACGGCAGAGGTTCCGATGCCATCGACAACAGGGCAGACATGGAGAACTTGTTTATCTACTTCCTCGACATACCCTGCATCGACATACCCTGCATCGACATACCTTACATCGACATATCTCATCCCTTGAGCGAATCAGACATTACTGGCTTCTCATCCCGACCATGCACCCAAATGGTGCAGCTCATCCGCGTGATCATCGAAAGCGTACTGGATATGAAAGTTCCCATGGACCGTCTCGTGCTGCCACACGGCTCGGCTACCGTCATTTCTAGAGGCAATCTCGCCAAACTCCTCGTTCCGTGGGCACGTCAGATGCTACTCGACAAAACGAATCCTGCCTATGACCTCGAATACCATCGGGAGCGTGGCCGAAAGGTTACGGACATCTTGTCTCGGCAGGTTCATGCGCTCGATCAGGATGTCCTGGCTCACAATGCACTGGGACCATTCCTTGTGTCCCTTCACGCATGTGCGAGAGCAGTTTGGGGACCCGACAAAGCTGCTTTCCGCTGGTTCGAATACACCAAGATATACGTCATAATTCTTTAAAACTTGCGTAAAAACTCGAGAGTCATTGGAGATCCAGCACATTGGAATATATCTTAGATGCAGGCATGCCCTTCATTGCCTTCGCGTCTACCCGCGGACGGGGATCATCAATCTGAATCGCGACCCCAAGAATATTTGCCATGTCGCACCCGGGTGCACATGTGCCCTCGTCAAGCCCTCCATTGAGGCCGTGCGCTCTTCGTACCTGGAGGATGACGTGCCTGCAGTCATTTTCGACGGAAACGGACTCACCGTGCGCCCTGCATCGAAGGGCCCTTATGTCGCAATTTCCCATGTCTGGGCGGACGGCTTAGGCAGCTCGACCGAGCACGGGCTCCCCCTGTGTCAAGTCGCGCGACTCGACGCTCTCGTCCGGAAGCTCGTCCCGGATGGCGCGTTCTGGCACGATGGACTGTGCGTCCCGTCGCCGAAGACGCAGAGGCCAACCTGGCAACGCGCGATCAGCCTCCTCGCGCGAATTTACGCTGGGGCAGACAAAGTCCTTGTCGTCGATGGCGGCGTCCGTACGCAGTGCTCGCTGGCGAAGCCTGTCGAGGAGTGCTTGCTGAGGATCGCGACGTCGGGCTGGGCGCAGCGCATCTGGACGCTTCAGGAAGGAGTGCTTGCCCGCGAGCTCTACTTCGAAGTTGCAGACGGCCTCGTCGACTGCTCGCACTTCGACGGCGACGCGTCTTTCATCACCTCCTGTCTCATCCCCACCCTCCGATATCGCCGCCACGACGGCGATTCCAAGTTCCAGCGCCGCCTGTCGCAGCGACCACGTTGCAGTCTGAACGACCTCATCCGGTTCATGCGGTTGCGTTCTTTTACTTGCCCCGAAGACGAGCCTCTGGCAATCGCGGGGCTGCTTGGGATCGATGCAGCACCGCTCGCAGAGATTCGAGATGGACAGGAGAGGATGAAATCGCTCCTTCTGCAGGTTCGGGAGGTGCCTCACCGCATGATAATAAGCCGCAGCTAACATACCATGCGGCTCTCTATACCTAACTTCACATGGGCGCCTAGGTGGCTGAGCATGGTGTACTGGTCCGGACGCCCAGAGGAAACTGCTACTTGTACCGAGGCAGGGCTTTGCGGCGAGTTCACATTAGTCCGCTTCCCGACCACCCCTTCAGCCGAGACGCGGCCGATGGTCACCACTTCCCGAAAGCCAGAACTCCTTGGCTTGGACCGCGGAGACCGACCCAGGCTAGCATTCAACGCCAATGGTGTTGCCTTCTATAACCTCACGCTCTTACGTCGCGATCCGATCGCGCCGCGCACGTGTAACGCCTTCCTTACAAGCCCCAAGATATGGGAGCTGTACTTGCAGCAGGATCAAGGTGTTGCCATTGTCCAAGTCATGTCGAACCCGGATCATAATGGAGCCGACTCCAAGCTTCATTGTCAATATGTCGGGCCGGCGCGCTTGGACTGGATAGAACGTACGGAAGCAATGAACGCGATAGATAAGTATACTGTGAAGGCATCCATTGACACATGCGAGGTGAATATTGTATGACGTACTGGAATGATACTCTGATGGTGTTGATTAATTCATTTCCGTTCCACTATCCCCAATATTAACCTGAGAATCGCATCGCCACGACGACAGATATTGGGGCGTGGGGGTGAGAGAGGAAGTGGCGTAAGACACCTCGACTTGAAGTGCGAGCCGTAAACGAAGCCGTCTACAGCTTCGGAGCAGAGATCATGAGTGAACAAACCTCCTTGAAGCGTCCAGATGCACTGCGTTCAGCCTGACGTCGCGATCCTCAGCAAGCACTGCCTTTCGGGTCCCACCAGCGAGGACTGCGCATGGATGCCTCCATCGTTGACGAGGGCTTTATTAGACGCGCGAGGAGCTTGATCGCGTGCTGCCAAGTTAGTGACACCGTCTGCGGCGTCGGGACGCATAGTCCGTCGTGCTAAAAGCCGTCCACGTCCTCGGCCAAAGTGTGCGAGCATACCAACATGTCATAGCCCGCAGCTCGCTTACAGCAACATGATCGTCAGTGGGACACTGGCGGCGTGTGAAGAACTTGAATGGAGTTTTGCGCCGACATTTGGTGCAAGGGCGCCGTGCGGATCTGCGAAAGATGATCGTATGCAGGCCTGCCGACGAGTACTGCTTCCTAGGATTCGGAAACAGCATAAGACATACCTCTACGAACAACCTGCGACACACCCTCCGTCTCTGCTAGGGTCCGGGGAGACAGAAGCCTCGCCACGGTCGAACCCGGGGGGAGGTCGGCTTCCGAACGCACGAACCCGACATACCCCGTGGCACGTCCTGCGCCTTCTCCTTCTCAAAATGCAGATTTTGCGAAGCTCCATCGTGAACGAGGGCTTTATCTGACGCGTGAGATCGCGTGCTGCCAGGTTGATCACGCCGTCTGCGGCGGCGGGACGTATAGCCCGTCGTGCTAGAAGGGGCCACGAAAACGTCGGGTCGCTCGACTTGACGTCGGGGAAGTCCGCTTTCGGTCGAGCTTCTTCAGCCGTTCACGTCCTCGGTCAAAGTGTGCGAGCATACTAACATGTCACGACCCGCTGCTTGTTTATAATCACATGATAGGAGTCAGCGGGACCGTACACGGCAGGCAAAGCGCGATGGTCCAGGTGAGGAAATCTACGCTGAACATACGGGCGATGCAACGTGCCCATAAGATTACCCAAATGACAAAGAGGGATACAAAGGCCCACTGGAAATGCCAGGGCCAGGTTGCATCGCCTATAAATGCTGCACAGATTTCCCTGCTTGGAGCCTGGCGCTTTGCCCGCCGTGGTATCGATGGCGAGTGAAGCGCCCACATTTGGTGCAAGGACACCGTGCGGATCTGCTGCGAAAGATGGTCTAAACGCAGGCCTTCCGACAAATGGTGCTTCCTGAAATTCAGCACTGGCACAAGACATACCTCTACCAACGGCCGGCGACACCTCCTCCATCTCTAGAGCTCGGGTAGACAGAAGCCTCGCCGCGGTGGATCCCGGAGGAAGGTCGGCTTCCGAATGCACGAATCCGAGATACCCCGTGGCACGTCCTGCCCCTTCTCCTTCTCAAACTGCAAATTTTGCGAAGCTGCGTGGGGTGGCGTGGGCGTATCGATTACTTCGTCGAAGCTGCACAGTTGTCGCATTAGATGCCCTGCACTGCGTAGAACTGTGAACACGAAGGGTGGTAGACGCGAGATTCAGCCGCTAGATAGCGTGCCGATAGAAGTTGTGGAGAAGGACGCCTGGAAGGGGAAGAGCACGAGCCTCGTCGTCAGCCGGGACACAGCAGCACTTCGTACAAAGCATAGTAAATGAACGGGGTGTGTGTTGTGGAGACTCGAAGGCGTAAGAGAGCGATGCGTACCAATCGTCTATGTTCTCTTCGTCTTCGATTCAACGACTCAAGAGGCCACGGGAGGCAGTTCGCATGAGAAGAGGGTCCTGCTTCAAAGTCTTCGCACTGGAAGGCAACTCGAGTGTCAAAAGACGATGACGTGGGATCGCGTGCTCTGTCCGCCTGACGACGAGAGGGCCACGTCGTGTGAGTCTCGGGGACACGAGCAATAGGCAGCATCGCTGTCGAAGCCGTCTCCCTAGAACACGACAGCGTTTTGACCCCACGAGACGGTGCTGCACGACGGTCAGCCCAAGCTCGCGGCCACTTTCGAATGAAGAGATGACATACGACACATCCCGTATCCACTTACTTGCTCGTGTGCTGAGAATGGTTCTGTGGCATGCCTGCGAAGCTAAGCTGTGCCGCATGTCTCATGTCCGAGCGACGATCTGGGGTCGAAAGCTCCACGTAATGGGTGGAGTGCATTCGCGCGGCACACCGAACATACCAATGTGGTTGCTGTCGCCACAAATGAGAACCTATAGATAGCGTGTGGCCCTCGCTATTCGTGTAGGCCGCGGGAAACGGGAATAGTGAGGATAAGGGTCGGCGGCCTGAGGAACGATCACCAACCGTCTCCTGCATGTGACGTCCGAATTTGCCACGCAAAATGAACACCCAACTTGGCTGGGACAGAACCGTCTCCGAACTCCGTACTCCAACGGTGCTTGTGCTGAATTTGTCTGTGTTGCTCTCGGGTCCCCGGTCCTGCTCGCAGCTCCGAACCTTCATAACGAGCGGAGTATCAAGAACAAAAAATGACAGAACACGGACATGTTAAACATACATACGTTCTTCGGACAACGGATAGCGTCCCGGAATGAACAGACGGCGCGACTCCCACCGTGACATTTCTCCGTTAAATCACCATAAACGTAGTAGCTCGATTCGGCTCCTAGAAGAACCAGCTTGTCTGTAAGTCAGGGGGGGGCGTGTGTCCGGAGCAGGGGAGCGTGAGATGATTTACAGTCAGCTCCGGATGCCTCCTGACAGCATTTGCAGGCTTCGCCAAACGCCACCATGCCATTGCCCTCAATCGAAGCGTTGGCCCCACTCCGACTCCCAGTTATGCCGCCCCATAACTTCTACTGACAGCGATGTAGGAAGAGGATGGCACTCATGGAGACGAGGGTACAGAGACGTGCTGGAGCATCACCCAGGCTCTTCATGTGGAGCGGAAGCCTGACCGAAAGGACGGTATATGAACGGGAATAGTAGGTGCGCCCCGCAAGAATCAAGCCTACCTTGCCTTGCTCGCATCGGCTGAGCTGATAAGACTCGTCGTACGTGTACAGACAGCCGCAGCGACAGCAGGCGATGTCGAAGGGAACGAGATGATAACCAAGAGTGAAGCTGGTCGCCGGTGTGGGAGCCATTTGGGCGTCTATGAGGGTATTGTCGCAACAGCGGTTACAGTACTTACCGGCTCCACCAGGAAGCTGCGAGAATCGAGATCTCGCTGGCTGATGGACTATGCGCCCGGGGCAGCCTGGAGGGACGGACCGGGGCAGAAAACAATTGGTTATCATCGTCGCGGGGAAATTTTCACAAGCACAGGGGCTCTGATGGCGCATACGACTGGCCTGAATACCGCTGGGCTCTGGCCGACTCGACATGTGAGGACGTCGAGGATAGCCCAGCGGAGGAGGGACGGGCGGACGTGCCTGATTGGGAAAGCGGCGCGCCGGAGGGGACGGTCCGCTCGGTGGGTGGGCGGCGGTGATTGAGTCGGTCGGGTGTAGGCTGACGTCAAGGGGCGCAGGCTTGTTCTCGCCTTCGTGCTCCAAGTGCCGACCAGGCCGTTGGCACCTCGGGCCTCGGCAACGTTCCCAGAAGCTCGCGGTTCGGCCTGAAGGCTTCGGAGCGACGATGGGCACTGTTTGGCCATATTTCGTCCATTCCTCTCCATCGTGGCCTTTCCTCTTCGCTCGACACTCGTCCTGACCAATCGCATCACCTCAACAAGCTCATTCGCATCGACCTGGCCGAGACCCGAGGCTGAAAATCTTCGTCGTCGACTTAGCGATTATCGCACACGTTTGCTCTTCTCGAATCTGTTTCAGGTCCGCTTGTTCCGCAAGCCCCCAAGTAGTACCAGTATTTGTGCAAGGTGCGCACAGACCCGTTCATTCGACACTCTCGTCCACCCCCCTCCGCCTGCACAGGCTCGTACTGATGCCCCCGCCGAACCATGTTCCCTCCATAGCGAGCATCCTCATTTCCCCGGACCTCACTCCCCCGTCTTCGAATGAGACCGCTATGGATACGCCCCCGAACGTGAACGGTAGCGGCGGTTCGGACCCGGCCTCTGCCCAGCCCGACACTCGCCCGCCCGGTGGCACACGCCGGTCGGGCAACAAGACGCCACGCAGGGTCCAATGGATCTTTGAAGAGGGACAGGCCACGACGTCCCCGAGGGCTTTGGATGAACACGGTTTGGACGTACGTCTCCATCGTCCTCCTTTGTCTTGCCCTGCTGATGCTTTGTTGTTGTTCATTGTCTTTTAGCCCGAAGCGTTTGAGACCCTCACTCATGCGCTTGAACGCCATCGGTCCTCGTCAATCGACGGAGGGCATATCACACCGCCCTTATCCAACAGGCTCTCGACCGCCATGTCCCCAGGCACATCTCTGCCTTCTTCCCCCACCACGGAGGCCCCTTCGCTCCACAACGTGCCTGGCGAGGCGTTCATCGACGGGAACGAAACCGCCGGCCTCCCGGGACGCGACATCGAGCAGTACTCCCAAGCGCAGGCGCAGAAGGTCCTCCGCGCGCACAAGTATAACTTCTTCAAGTCCAGAGGCAAGCATCGCCACCGCCGCTCGGAGTCCCAGCCGGACGCGCGCGAGGAGTACGAGGACAAGGGGAAGAAGTCGCGCAGGGGCTTCTTCCGGGACCGCGGCACGTCGAGCGACGTCGAGAAGACCGCGGAGGCGCGTGGCGCGACGACACCGAGGACCTCTCAGCCGACGGGCGTGCTCTCCACGCTGCTGTCCATGTACGAGCACACGTCCGGCCTGACGTCGCGCTCGTCGTTCGACGACTCCCGCACGGCGTCCCTGTACAACGGGCCGTCCTCGGCGACGTCGTCTGCTATCGCCATGCCTCCGCCGCCCGCCCCCGCGCGCACCGAGGGCTACTTCCCCCCTCAACCTCAACCTCAAGCGAGCACGTCGACGGCGTCTCTGCGCCCGCCTAACCACCCGTGGACACGGGTCCCGTTCGGGAACGGCAGACCACCGAAGTCGCGCGGTGGCGCGGGCGTGTTTGGCCCTCTCATCGCTGGCACGGGCAACATCACTGGCGTCGCCGCGCCCGTGTCCGCCACCGTCGCGCCCGACCTCAAGCGGCCTGGCTATCATCTCTCCCGGTAAGCGTGCCGCTCCCTTCTCTTCTCTTCGCTTCCATCTCGACTCCGTCGTTGACCCGCGTCTGTCTGACAGGTACTCTCTTGACGAGGGCAAGGTGCCGCGGGTCGGCGCGGCTGGGGCTGGGGAGCGCAAGTCCTTGACACGCTCGCGCAGCGTGCACTCTCTTCGTTCGCCCGTGGCCTCGGGCCCGCCTACGCCCGGCAGCGAAGAGACGGTGTCGCCGCAGCACTCGACCGGGGGCTCCCAGTCGCCCACCGCCACGAACAAGCGGTGGAGCGGGGTGCTCAAGGACCTCCCGAAGTTCAGCGGCCGGTGGACGCCGAGCACGGTGCCGAGCACGCCTGCGACGGACGTCGGCGTGGACGAGTGGCACGAGAGCGCCGCCGAGGAGAAAAAGGAGAAGCGGCGGAAGCGCAAGAAGGCGGAGATATGGGTGAGCTTTCCTTCGACGACGCGCGCGCCTCCGGTGTCTCGAAAGGACTCGGGATCTGACGTCTCTTCGTTTGCGCGCAGATCACGCGGCACGTCGCGGAGATCGTGTGCAGGCAGGAGTTCATCCTGAAGCTCACGCGGGCGATGATGATGTTCGGCGGGCCCACGCACCGGCTGCAGGCGCAGATCAAGGCGACCGCGAAGGTGCTCGACATCGAGCTGTCGTGCATGTACCTCCCGGACATGATGCTCATCTCGTTCGACGACGCCGCGACGGGCACGAGCAACATCAAGTTCATCCGCCAGGGCAGCGCGCTCGATATCGGGAAGCTGCAGGAGGCGCACGAGCTGTATTGGAAGGTGTGTCTCGCTCGCCTGAGGGCCGACCAGTGACCTCTCGCTTATCGATGTCCTGCAGGTCATCCATGACGACATCTCGGTCAAGGATGCGTCCGTCGAGCTGGACGAGCTGATGCGCCGCCGGCCTTTGTACAGGAACTGGCAGATCGTGCTTATCGGTGGCGCGTGCTCGGCCTCTATATGCAGCGTCAGCTTCAACGGCTCGTTCATCGACTCCTTGGTGTCGTTCCCCCTCGGCTGTCTCCTCATCTTGATCCAATTCTTCGCCGCTCGTAACGAGCTGTACTCCAATATCTTTGAGTGAGCAGATCTCCGTCGTCGTCTGTGTAACAATGGTTGCTGAACCATCGTCTCTAGGATCACTGTCGCCACGTTCTTCAGCTTCATCGCCGCCGCTCTGTCCTCTCTGCCGTTCTTCTGCTACTCCGCGATTGCATCGAGCTCCGTCGTACTCATCCTCCCCGGCTTCATCGTCCTCTGCGGGAGCCTGGAGCTTTCGTCGCGCAACATCGTCTCGGGCGCTGTGCGCGTTTGCTTTGCCTGCATCTATTCATTGTTCTTGGGGTTCGGGCTTGCGATCGGCGCCACCGCATACTCGAAACTCACGAACCGTACTATCGCCGGCTCGGACGACCTCACGTGCGGCTTAAGCCACGATCCTAATGGACCGTGGTGGCAGCGCACGCCGTCTCTGTGGTGGGGTGAGTATCCGCATATGGATGTGCGATGATGATCAGCGACTGACGGCAGCGGTTGTTGCGCAGCGTTCTTGACCGTCCCTGCATACTCGCTGTTCTTAAGCTTGAGGCAGCACACCCCGTGGAACCGCCGGGAACTGGTTCGTCGCAATGTGGCTTGATCTCGCGTTTTCCGTGCATTGACCGTGGCCGCGCTCCTGCAGTACCTCCTCGTTGTGATCTCCTGCATCGGGTGGGTGACGAACCACTTCACCGGGACGCGCTTCCGGAACCGGAACGACATCTCGGCCGCGGTGGGCGCGCTGGCCGTCGGCCTCGTCTCGAACCTGTACGGCCGGTTCTTCTACGGCAGCGCCTTCGTCGTAATGGTAAGCATGCCGTACGCATCTCGCCTGGTGCACGACTCACGCCGACGTCTTTTGCGTAGATCACGGGCATCCTGTTCCAGCTGCCGTCGGGGCTCGCGAACGGCGGGCTGTTCACGTTCGTGCAGCAGCAGACGAACGGGTCGTCCACGAACGAGTCGTACCTCTCCGGGTTCCAGACGGCGCTCCAGCTCATCTCGGTGTCGATCGGGCTGACCGTCGGCCTGGGCATCTCGCTCGTGCTCGTGCACCCCATCCCGTCGAGGCGGCGCGCCGCCGGTCTGTTCACGCTGTGAGCTGGCCTGCGCGCGTGCCGGTTTCTTTCTTTCTCCTCATCCTCATCCATCCGCGTTCATGGACATAAGTTGGTAACTGGTCTCCTGGTGGGGCAGGGAGCGCGGCGGATGCTCGCCGCCCGTAGTTCCGCTTCACGTCCACTCATTCATCTCATCTAATCTCCAACTCTCCTCTGCAGTACTCACGACGGACATGAGTACACGAGTACCTCCCGTTCTCCTCGGTCACAGTCACACATAGATATTTTGCTTCTCATGCGCACTCGGTTTCACGATCGGCACGACGGACCCACGATTTAAACATTGCACTTCATGATAGATAGATAGCTCGATAGACAGATACGTAGATAAACAGAGAATCCCGCTTTCCAGTTGCTTGTACAAAACCGCTCCCCGCCGCTCGGGTCGGGCGGCGCCTCGCTGTTCACGTTCGTGCTATACATAGATGACGTCTGCTTCGGGCTCCCCAGGTGTATCATAGGTTATATCGTTATTCCACCTTCGTCACGCAGAACCCACAGTGGACCGTGCAGAAGCATACGCGGTGGCTCAGGTCTGCTCGCAGGCATGTGAGTATGCGCGATTGCGGGGGGACCGCCACACATGGAACGGTGCCTCACTCGCCAACGGTACCGGACGTCCTGCCATATGCATAGATTGGATCCCGAGGCACACCGCAGCGACTCCATTGCAGTGTAGCGCTGGCGTCCCGTGTCGTGTCCAGCATGTCCGGATTCACGTCGCAGCATCCACGGGGGGATTATATGTGTATCGCCCAACGATTCTTGAGCGGCGTCTCCGGTAGGCATATTGAGATTTTACGTGTACGCACCAGCAGCATGGTTCAGTAGAGCGGGGAGGTGATCCCCGATTAGGGCAGAAAGAAGCCGGTCCCCTCGTCAGCGAGACATCGCATGCTGGCACTATCCACAACGGGTTTACGCGGAAGTAGTGCTCGTGCAGACCGAAAGGCGGTTCGAGGTCAGATCGAACCTAGCCTTCGCCTTGGGTCCGAAATGAGCGTCAGGATGGCACGCGGAGCGTTATGGCTGCCTGAAGATGCCTGCTGCATAGATTGCAACACAGTCTTCGCACGAGGCACAAAGGGTCCCAGAGAGGGATGGACGACGATGGTGGTACCTGGGCGAAGGGTGGGTGCACCCTGCCTAGCCATCGCCTACTGACATGCTTGACGCAAGTCTTGGTGGCTGGGCCCCTGATGACCTATACGCGAATGAATAGATGGTGCTTGAGGTTGAAGCCGAGGACGGCATCCGTGTCGTAGATCTTCGGGCAAGGACTGGTAACAAAGCAAGGATGAGACTCGGGCATCGTGTGTGCGGAAGAAGCTGGAGGCAGATCCGCCACGGGATCCATCGCAGGTTATCTTTTGGGATGAGCATCCGTCAGGTATCCAGGAGAAAGCGGGCTCGCGAGGGTGAGCAACGGTATGCGTAGCCTGATCGTCATGACCTTCTGGAGTCCCTTCGGCCGAGGAACCCGTGCGCCTTTCACGTCGGGGTAAAGGAATTCGCCCAGCACTGCTGGCAATACCCATTGCGTACTTGACCCGCCAGGCGCGCAATGTGGTCATGCCTGCGTTCATATGGGGCAGCGTTAGCTATCGATGCCGTCAGCTGGAGAGAAGTAATACCGGAGACAGACCTCTTCTCTCCCCACTCTAATACGAACGCGTCAAGTAGTCAGTGCAGCTCGCCGCTCAGCCCGATCATGAGACTAGTCAGCGCCGGACCGTGGGCTCTGGGCAATACGCACTCGTCGTTCACACGTCGTCCTGCGAAACGCGACGGAAAGATCGCACGGTGTGCAACCACAGCCATGGAACAAGGCACCATGCATGACATTGGTGTTGTGATTCGCGCGCACAGGCCATTTACAGGCTGGCTCTCGCCGAATGGGAGAAGTGGAAATGCATCGCGCGCGGCCTCGACTGTTGGCACCACGTCCGGTATCGGGAGGCTCCCACTGTCCGTGCGGGTATTCGCACGGGACCGCGACGCCGCAGGGCGTATGAGAACGACACGTTGCCCGGTTCGCTGTTCTTGGCGCGCCCGACCTGGGCTGTCCGACGGCGACATCGACTGCGAACCAGACCGGTTTCCGTGCGAGACGGCAGCGACGCTGGAATGAATGTGGTGGGGCGTGGCACGAAACCGCATCGGAGTCGTCGGGCGAAATGCGGACGGAAGATAGACGCCCATGGTGGTTCGACGGGGATCTGAGCCAATCGGCAGCAAGATTATCTGATATGATTGAGGCATAATTATCTGATATGATTGAGGCATAATTATCTGATAAGAATTTCTAAGACGAGGCAGCTTCCGTTATAACGCTTCCTCTCGGATAGACTGCGCCTGGCCCACCTCCTCTTACTCTACCTTTACCGCTCTAATACGTACAATGTCCTCCTCCCCCTCCAGGACCGTCGCCATCATCGGTGCCAGCTACGGCGGCGCACGCGTAGCCCACCTCCTCGCCCAAGGCCTCCCGGAACGATGGCGGGTCGTCCTTATCGACAGGAACAGCCACATGAACCACCTCTACGTCCTCCCCCGGTACTCAGTCCTCCCCGGCCACGAGCACAAGGCCTTCATCCCGTACAAGAACGTTTTCCTGCCCCCGCCCGCCTTCGACGCTCCTTCCACCTCATCCCCTCCGTCCCCTATCGGCAGCTCTCCCCACGTCTTCCTCCACGCCGCCGTCACCTCGCTCTCCGAACACTCGCTCGTCCTCGACAGGGCATTTCCCGAACACGGCGTCGCGGAATCGGACCGTACCCTCCACTTTGACTTCCTCGTCTACGCACTCGGCAGCCACCTTCCCGCCCCTATCAATCTCTGGGGCCCCGTCGCGGACGAGGACGTCGAGAAGGCGGACGTGCTCGACGTCTCGCGCGGCACGAAGGAAGGCGGCGTCGTATGGCTGAAGAGGTTCCAGAAGCGCGTAGAGCGCGCCTCGAGCGTCCTCGTCGTCGGAGGCGGCGCCCTCGGTATCCGTGAGTGTCATTCCACCTTCTCTTGCTCTTGCCGCGAAGAGCGCCGTCGCCATCCGAATACATACCTCTCGCTCGCGACGATCTCATTTGGACATCGCGCACAGCGGGTGTTACTACATTGTTCCGCCCGCAAGAGGTGATCTACAAAAATTGGTCATCTCCGTCTAGGGAACGTGTCTCTGTCCTCTTTGGCCTTTGGCCTTTTCATTTATGGTAAGCTCAAATGCAGAAAGGGAAAGACATGCGACACCACGACCGCGTCCGGACGCTTCCTAATCTCCTAGGAGTAGGCTACTTCAGGGAGGATGGGGTGCAATTCTCTTCCGCTCGCAAGTACCTTCACGACTCTTCGGTATGCGAGTCTCCGGAAAACTCTTTAGGCAATAAAATGGCCTTCACCCTTCAGCTGAAGAAGATAGGGGGTATAAAGCCATTATCTCAGGCTCGAGCTGCCTCAGCGAAATGCAAGTTTAGACACTTTGCTTAGGGCATGCGATCGTTCGCCAGATATAGCATTCCGTCACTCACCGCGCACAATCTGTGGCTGACCACTTTCGTTGATAGAGTTCGCATCTGACATCGCGGAGATACACCCGGCGACCCGCGTGACCCTCTTGCACTCGCGGGCCCGCCTGCTGCCGCGCTTCGACGAGGGCATGCACACCGAGAGTACGCACCTCCACGTTCATGGTGTGCAGCGTGTACACCGCCGCTGACCCCTTATCCCTTCCGCTCTCGCGCAGTCCTCTCGACGCTCGCGACGCTCAACGTCTGCACCATCCTCGGCGACCGCCTCGACCTCTCCTCGCTCCAGCAGAAGCGCACGCAGGACGGCGAGCGCGTCGTGCGCACCCAGAGCGGCCGTGAAATCCGCGCCGAGCTCGTCGTACGTTGGCCAATCTACTTCCCGTGTCAGCCCCCAAGCTCATGAATGAACCGCACAGCTCCTGTGCACGGGACAGACGCCGAACACGGCCCTGCTGCGCGAGGCGTTCCCGGAGTCCGTGATCCCCGACGGACCGGACAGGGGCATGGCGCGCGTGCGGCGCACGCTCCAGCTCGCGAAGCCGGCGCCCATCGACGCGCTGCCGTCCGTCCTGCGTCATCTGTCGCTCGCGGACCTCGACCACCACGACGCGCTCCCGCCGACATGTCCCGAGGTGCTCCCGCCGCCTCCCGCCGCCCCTACCCCTGCCCCAGACGACGACGGGGCTAGCGAGATAGAGGAGGACCCGGCGACGCGCGTCGCCGCGGAGCACGTCTTCGCGATCGGGGACGCGGCGGACGCGTTCGGCGCGGTGAACGCGGGCCACAACGCGTTCTTCCAGGGCGAGGTCGCCGCGCGGAACGTCCTCCGGCTCGTGCGGCGCAGGGAGGGCCTCGCGGCGGCGTCGGAGGACCGGACGCTCGAGAGGTACGCGCCGGGCCCGCCCGCGATCAAGGTCTCGCTCGGTCTGGTGAGTGCCCCCTTCTGCGCTCTGCGTACTGCGTCTTGCGCACGGAGAGAGGAGAGATGCTGATGCTTATGGGGTGTTGGCGCGGTAGAACAAGAGCGTGTACCAGTTCCAGGGCGTGATCGGCACGAAGGAGCAGGAGCCGCCGGACCTCGACGTGCACCTCATCTGGCGGTACTATGGGTACCACGTCTCGCGCGAGGACCTCGAGGCCGACTTCGAGGCGTCTGCACCCGCGGACGCTAAGTAGCTGTGGGGGAGACGCCGATCCGGAGCTTGAGTTGGGACCGTGGACGGAGGTGGAGTGTGGGGTTTCGGAATGGAAGGAGGGAATGGTTGGTCGTGTACTTGAAAGATAGACTTGCCACCAGTGTACGGAAATTCAAGTTCCGAGTTGTTCCTCGATGCCGGTTGGCTACATAGCGTCTGCATGAAGTGCCTGCCCACCTTGAGAAATCGGGATGGGATTCCCCTTCGGGGGTATCGACCCGTGGCACAATTGTGTCCCATCGTGAATCCCATCGTAATCAAACTCACTGTGGGACCATTACCTGGTCACAGGTTTCCCGTCACAATCCCCTTTAGAACCTTGATAAAACCGCATACTGAAACATTCGTAGCAACACGCACCCTGAGCAACCTCTGTTCCGGTGTATCCACGAGTTGGGCTGAGATCCTACACCGCGGACACACCTTCTCGCGTACCGTGTTCGGTGGTAAGCACTCAGCCGCACACCCAGCTATTCAATCATGATGATAAACTTATCAATCGCTTGTAGCTCTACAGATCCCCAGCACCTGAAAGTCGACTAGCTGTAGACGAGGCAAGCACGGCTGTATCCGTACGTACTCCAGCACATCAAGTCACCCGCACCGCAGTCATCTCGACGGTGGCCTGCACAGAAGCACCCTCACCCAACGATACAACTGATCCGGCCACCGATGTAGACCATTTCACCCTGCCCGGCCCAACATACTTGCAACGAAGTCTGGTGTCCCCTCCGAGAGTAGCTTGATACGAGATCGATTCGATGTACACGATGGCGACAGCGTACTCTCGAATCGGCACTAGAGCCTCCGGCTTACAGTTCGTTAAGAACCCGTTGAAGATGACTTCGGAGTTGACACGAGGCGACAGCTCGAGCTCGCAGTAGGCGGTGCCATTCGCGTCGAAGACCTGGGGGAATTCTTCTCCTGAGTCACGCTCTCCAGAACGCGCTTCCTGGAAGGTCGATTCGACGGTATCGACGACTCGAAGCATCCCGCAGACCTGCCCCACCGTACTGGGGAAGCGCACCACCGTCACGTCACTCAGAAGCCCTTCCTCGGTGCAGATCGCGACGTCGTCCCGTTCTCCAGGCCAGTACACCGCCGTGAGCGATGCAGGCGCCCAGGTGAAGTTCGGTATCGAGAGCCGTTTGGCGGACCATCCGAACAAGAAGAGGTTCCGGGGCACTTCCCGGACCTCCAGAAGGAGCGCTCTCATCCTCTCCTCTCCATTTCGGATCTCTGCGAGCGGTGCTGCATCGATCCCAAGCAGCCCCGCGATTGCCAGAGGCTCGTCTTCGGGGCAGGTGACGGAGCGCAACCGCATGAGCCGGATGAGGTCGTTCAGACTGCAGCGTGGTCGCTGCGACAGGCGGCGCTGGAACTTGGAATCGCCGTCGTAGCGACGATATCGGAGGGTGGGGATGAGACAGGAGGTGATGAAAGACGCGTCGCCGTCGAAGTGCGAACAGTCGATGAAGCCGTCCGCAACTTCGAAGTAGAGCTCGCGGGCAAGCACTCCTTCCTGAAGCGTCCAGATGCGCTGCGCCCAGCCCGACGTCGCGATCCTCAGCAAGCACTCCTCGACAGGCTTCGCCAGCGAGCACTGCGTACGGACGCCGCCATCGACGACAAGGACTTTGTCTGCCCCAGCGTAGATTCGCGCGAGGAGCCTGATCGCGCGTTGCCAGGTTGGTCTCTGCGTCTTCGGCGACGGGACGCACAGTCCATCGTGCCAGAACGCGCCATCCGGGACGAGCTTCCGGACGAGAGCGTCGAGTCGCGCGACTTGACACAGGGGGAGCCCGTGCTCGGTCGAGCTGCCTAAGCCGTCCGCCCATACGTGGGAAATTGCGACATAAGGGCCCTTCGATGCAGGGCGCACGGTGAGTCCGTTTCCGTCGAAAATGACTGCAGGCACGTCATCTTCTGAGTACGACGTGCGCACGGCGTCCATGGAGGGCTTGACGAGGGCACATGTGCACCCGGGTGCGACATGGGGAATATTCTTGGGGTCACGATCCATATTGATAATTCCCGTCCGCGTAGCGACCTTGTTCAGGGTAGGTTGGCAGGAAGTCGCGTAGGCAATGAAGGGTATGCCCGCATCGAGGACCCGTTCCATCTCATCGGCCATCCAACTTCCCCAGCTGCTTTCGAGTCGCCGACGGACGACATAGTACAGATCCTCCATGACCCTAGTGTTGTCGAGCCAGCCAAACGCTTTGTCGTCGCCATAGGCCACGCTCGCGCATTTAGATACGCATATCAAGAACGCCCCCAGTGAATACAAAACCTCGTCGTCTAGGGGACATACCTGTTGGGCAGCGTCGTCGAACGCCTGGATCTCTCTCAACAGGACACTCTTCGCTCTTCGGCCATGTTCAAGATGCACTGGATCGAGGGCAAGGTGCTCCCTTTCGAGTAGCAGCCCACGGGCCCAGGGAATGAGAAGCCGGGCGAGGTTGTCTCCGGAGATGATCTTCCTCTCGGCCTCGTCTCGCCGTTCCAGATGGTCCATTGAAACTTCCATGTCCATGACACCTTCGATCAGTGTGCGAACGAACTCCGCTGATCGTATGCAAGGTCGCGAGCTCGAGTCGGAGCTGTCCGTCCCACTCGGTTCATCGGATTCTGTCTCGCTCGGGTCGTCAGATTCTGTTTCGTTCGGCTCGTCGCTGCTTGTAGAGGGTGAAGAGGGATATGCATAAATCTCCACACAGGGTATGTCGAGGAAATAGATGAACTGGGACCCCACCCAGCGCAGCTGCTCAACATCGGCGGTTCCGTTTGGCGTGGCTCCCGTACTAGCTGACACTATATGCGGGGTTGGTAAGTTTCACTAATGCGGGCTGCCTCGGGAACGGTCCTGTCTGCTCACCGATCAGTGTCCCTCGGGCGTCGTCATTGGTAACTTGGAGCGACGTTGTTGAGGCTGCGGCGGTCTCTGTAGCCATGATGAGGGACGGTTGCTACCAAAACGAGTCAACGTCCTGGGGACAAGTCAGTATGTGCGGACACATCGCTACGTTTCATCGCTCACCTTCTCGAAAAGAAATGATGTGGATATGCCTCAGAATGCGATGACCTTCGCCTCTTATGAGCAATTGCCCCAGGCACCATCCACCAACCGTGCGGTACCGAGACAGATGCCACCGAGAGGTAGATAGACTTGTGTTCCAACCCGGAAGATAGCAGACCCGGTTCATGGACGCCAAAGACCCTATAAAAGTCCGTCCCTCTTGGTATGTAAGCGCAATACCTGCTGGCCTACCTCTCCAGCTATTGTGCACTCACCTGTACATATCCCTTCTCTTCTTCATCCGACGCGGAGGCCGGTTCTGGCACCCCATTCATCAGAGTAGCACCTCAAGGGACACAGCTGCCAACGCATCTAGCGAATACGGGTTCTCCGATGCCCTGGCTGCTGAATCAGATTATTTGCAATTGACCCCACTCCGGTGAGAGACTCACCGACGACTCTGACAAGGAACGGGCCTTCGAAGCGCATATCTCAATTACGACGGAGCCGCTCTACTGTCAACGTCTACCACATGACGTATGACAATTGGACGTGACAGTTCGACGTACCTTGCCAGCAGGTTGAGCGCGCATAACGCGCAGACTCAAGGTTGATTGTCATGACCCGAGGTGGTCTCGCCCTTGGGCCTTTGAAAGAATTGACATGACATCGGAGCAGAAAAGGTGTATTCCCCTACGGTGTACAGGAACTTCGGCCGCGGGTCCAGTAGTTTCCAAAGGTCGAGCCGTTACGACCATCTTACGAGCGCAGAGGATAGCTTCTTTCAGTGGTGGATTAAGCCACTTTTGACGGCAATAGGTCACTCTGCACAACATCATCCACACAAGGCGGGAGGAGGAAGATGCTCGAGGTGCTGCCACAAGGATCGCGCGAAGACCCGGACATGTCCGATCGGAAATCACAGTACTTCTCTGCTAAAAGCATCATGAATGCCGGTTGTGGATATAGTCAGTGGTGTCACCCGATGAGCGACGACATTCCCTCGAATGCTACAGATGATCAGTGCGCGAGACAAGTATATGTCACTGAAGCGCCTATGTTGCGCGTTGCTTGAGCTGTTAGGGGTGGTTTTATGTCCTGAAATACGCAAGCCCTGTTGGCACACACGTAAAGGAAAACAACAGCCTTGAGGCACGTACTTACATTTATAGTGGGGCACGACAGAGCGATATTCCTCGGGCCTGCCACCGTAGGGGTAGCATCGGAGTCCCCGAATTATCCCGTTGCCTGTCGTGAGTGGATTGGCCAGGTTATGCAGTATGGAACTGACCGTGCGGACTGCCCGTAATTCTGATTCTCGCATCGAGCGTGGTCTTGACGTTCTTCTCCGGAGCTGTGGCTAGAGGATCGTTGTCTTGCCCTAGTTTCACGACCGTCGCATTGCGGGGCATAAGATATCGGGTACTGCGATGACCATCGCCAATTAGTTTTCAGAGATAGGACAGGCACCATCTATCAACGTGCCTCAGGTGACATGTCAATGTGGGGCGGCTGGACATGGTGCGGACAATCCCAATAGACTGTAACGGATTCTACACACAATGGACACCCACTATTTTTGGCATGAATGGTGGCGGTTGGATATCGTCCTAGTACATATCTGAAGTGGGCTTCCCTTGGCGTATCAGCGAATCCTGTTTACCCGCTTCTCACATGCACCACATTGTACTCACCTGCTCGTTTCTCCTGTGGATGTTGCCATATCGCAAAGCTGCACGCTGACTGGGATTGTGGCACCGAGGCGCCCCGTACTGCTCCGAACTGAGCTGCTACGTCGTTCGGATGTTGAAGGTGCTTCAAGTGGGGACCGCAGGAGAGGTTTGGCGCTCCTGGTAGATCTACGCTCCGGGTAGTGCCGCGTGCTACAGCGCCAGTAGGCACCTTGCTTGACTAGGCATCGAGATATTTATGTAACGGCCACATTACTGTGCGCATCTGCGCATGCACTCCTCGATGGTATCCTCCGTATATCATCGAGGTAGCAGGCATGACACAATGTTGGATCAATACTACCCACATGTCAGAAGTCGATAGCACTGCAAGACACTGCTGCTGAGTGCATACATGCGTCGAATACAGCTATACATTGGGTCAGCACACGTGCGAACGAAGTGCTATATCGTATCCCGAAGTCAGCGTATTGATTGACAAGAACGCTAAGGGATGGTAGTGGGTTAGCTTACCGCCTTCGCACCGCACGATGTCTGCGGGAGGTTGCATGACTATACCCTTGCAAGTTGTGGGGTAGATGTATCCCTCGACTACCATTTTGCTGGGTATCTGGTCCCTAACATCGGAGCCACATGATGTCTTCCGTCAACGGCTTACAAACATGACCATGCTCGCGATGTTTTCGATCTCATGAGAAACCTGTCAATGCGAAGCTCAGTGAGTACACGGTGTGTACGAACTTGAAGTTGCGACGCGGAGCTGGCCAACATGCATAATGAGCGCTCAGTAGGCTTCCCGGGCGGCGGCACTCCTTTCAACCTTGCACCGCTCTCTGCAGCTTCGACCTGTCTGCTGGGCTAGGGCTTAGGATCTGTTACGGTGATGCCAGTAATATTTGGCACAGCTCCGTCTTCGTCTGGTCTCAGCTTACCTGAACTACGCTCGCATGCGGTGAGAACGCCGTTTACTGAATAGCCTCGTGGAGACGAAGCGTCAATATCTGCTCGTGCTACACACGTGTTGGGGGGTTCTGTGAAGGCTAATGCCACAGTCAGCGACCTTGGGCGACTCCACCGGTTGGTCCTCGCGAAATCCTCCTTCCGCGGTCCACGCTATCCAGGAATGCACACACAATTGTCGCAACCGAGTCGGGAACGCCGTGCTGGGATAAAGAGCCGGCAATCACTTCTTCTATCCTCATAAAAGTCCACCCTTGTCTTCATGCGAATCCTACACGCATGCCCCTTCATCCTCCCACAAACGCATATCTCCCGGAGCACAACAACGTTGTGCTCACGAAGGAGCTCCTCTTGACCGCACTCAATGACCTGTCCCTCCGTCTAGCAGCCTACTTCCCGTCTACCGTGCGCCTCGTAGTGCACGGCGGCGCCGTCATGGTCCTCCACCCTCTCCTGGCCTGCCGGGAGTCCACTCGCGACGTGGACTACATCCACCGCTCCTTCGAGGCAGAATGGATCGCTCGTGGCGTCACGGACGCCGGCGCGCGGCTGCTCACCTGCATCAAGGCCACCGCCCGCCAGTACAACCTGGGCGCAGATTGGATGAACGCATGCGCGGACAGGGCACTGCCCGTGTCCCTAGAGTAAGCGTCCTAGCCGATCGCAGTAATAGTGGCCACTCGTCGACACCGCTCACCGCCTCCGCCTCACACAGCATCTACGGCCGGCCGCAGGACCCCATCTCCTGCGACGCGCTGTCCGCGACCAACGTCAGCCTCAACACCATCTACACCTCGCCCGGGCTGGTCCTCGTCGGGGTTGGCTGGGCCTGGGCGGTGGCGCTCAAGCTCGTGCGGTACGACAAGCACGACCCGCACGACGTCGCGAGCATACTGCGGCTCGGCTGCCGTCAGCGCAACGTCCAGTGGACGCGCACCTTGCTTGAGGCGTGGCTGGTGTCGATCTGCGGGGCGATGGGCTACGCTGCATACTCGCCCTGGCAGATGGAAGCCACTCGGCAGAAGATGCGCCATGCGATTTCCCTTGCCCATTCTCAGGACGTCGCTCCCCATGACCCTGGTCTCCAAGCTGTGCGAATGTACTGAACCCTGTGACGGGTGTATGTGTATCCTGGCTCGATTGTCTTACTCTAGAGGACGCTTGCGCGCTCATGTCTGTTGCACTAATTGTCTATCGTCCTGTAAACCATTACTCAATTGTTATGCCGAACTTGGCTTCGGAAGTTCCTGGATACCCGTCTATTCTCATACGTCAAGCCATGCTTCTATAGTGCACAACAGCGTCTCGGCGGCTGATGCACGAAACAAACAGAAAATCAGAGGATGACGTGAGGCTCTTCCAGGTTCCTGGGACTAGAAGGATCGTGAATAGACGTGCATGTCAATAATAGCCATACCCGAAATGCGTATACTCAGCTCTCTGCACGAAGAGTGATGCGTTCTAGCCGATGAAGGAGGATGCAGTGCATCGAGATTCGAAAGTCGTCTACACTACTACGTCTTACAACCGTGTATCTACTACTGACCGACTGGCATGCCCCAAAGCGTCACACATCCGCCGTAGGCACGATGTGCCGCAAATGTGCAGGGACAAGCTGCGGGGGCAGCTTCATGATCTGATCCAGCGGCGCCCTCTTGGCGAGCGCAAGGAGGTTCAGCCGCAGCTTCTTCATGACCGGATCCTCGACGTCCCCCATGGCCACGCCCTCGCTCGCACTGGGCGCAGCGGAGGAATCATCGCCGCTTTCGGTCTTCATGACGACATCGCCGTCCGCGTCTTCCCCCTTCGGCTGGGCTTCTTCCACCGCCCCGTCCCCCTTCCGCTCTGCGAGCGCCTCGGGTGCCGCCTGCGCGGGCTGTCCACCCACAAGCTTAGCGATCTCGTCCGCCGCAGCGTCCAACGCGTACGCCAACATGCCCGCATCCTCCACCGCACCGGAGGTCGCCGCGCCCGCAGCAGCAGCCCCAGCCGCGGTCCCGGTCCCAGCCACAGTCCCGCCCACGTTCTCCCATGCACCCGCCTGCGCCTCGCGGTGCTCGGCAATCGCCCACTGCAGGTACGCCGCGGCGTTCTTCTCGGGGTCGCGCGCGAGCGCCTCGTCCATCTCGCGCCGCCGCTTCTCGCGGTACGCGCGCCCGGCCCAGACGTCCTCGGCGTGGAAGAGCTCGTCTGGGGAGCGGATGAGCGCGGGCAGGTCGATCTTGTCCTCTTGCATCGAGCGGAGCGTCTCCAGCGCACGCGCCGCGGCGGGGTAGGCGTGTAGCGATAGGTCGATTTGGCGCCGGATTGGATCGGAGGGCGTAGAGTCGGGATCGGGGAGCGCGGTCGAGGTGAACGGCGGTGTGTGGGGAGGAGTGAGCGGGAGGCTGTGGAGGATCCGTGAGGCGTCGCGGAGAACACCGTGTCGCCAGCCTGTGAGAGGATCGAGAACGTTTTCTTCAACCCATCGCGCGACAGGCATCCCGAGCGCGCCGAACGTTGGAGGCTCCCCATTGCGTACCTAGATGCGACATAAACAGACTGACCCACAATCAGCAATTCCCGAGTTACACTCACCACAGGTGCCGAGGGCGTCACGAACTCGGCCAGACTCCTCGCGTACGCCAGTCCGTCCACCCCGCCGTAGACGACGTCCCTGATGTACGCTTCAGCTTCGGCCGCCTTCCCCCTCCAGAAGCTGTCCTCGTCCACGCTCGGCTTCTGATCCGTCGAGTGCGCCTCAGTGCTTGGCACAGAGGGTGTACTGTACAGGCTCCGTCGCAAGACATCGAAAAGCCTCGCCTCCGAACCGAGGTCCGCGCCCACGTCCTGCAACCTGTTCTCTTGGGCGAGCACGCTTGGGAGAGTGGCATACGTCCCGAAGTCGGTCGCGACCGGTTCTCGTGGGGTTTTCCACACTGGCACAACGTCCTCGTCTCCTGTGTCTTTGATCCGAACACGCGTCGGCCCGCTCCGGTTGACGATCCAATGTCGTCGTTTGGCCGGCTTTGCGCTCTTGATACGTCTCAGCGTAGATGATGTCGAAGTCGATGTGGATGGTTCCGGTTCCGGTTCTGGGATGTCCTGAGACGGGATGATGTTGACGGGGGCAGGGTATTGGGACTGTGCGGGTTCTTCCGGCTCCGCTGGAGGATACAGGGGAACGAGAAGGGGGCGGGATGGCGGGTCGGGGACCAAGGCCGAAAGCACGGAGAAGGGGTCTTCCACTAAGGGCATGGGCTCAGAATCTTGGCCAAGGGATGAGATGAGGAAACTGCACTCACTCTCAGGATAGTCTAAACTTCCGTCCGGAGCTATGGGCGGGCCACCTCTCTCCATTCGAATACGCTCCTTTTTCGTACGATAGCGTTTCCCTATGTGAAGTGAACAGTCAGGCTCAGCAAAGGGTATTGACCGGGCAACGTACCTTTGAGCTTCAACGCCAGCATCAGTTCGGCCTCGTCCGATCCAGGTGGAAACGCCCCCAGACCATCCTTCGCACCAGGCAACCCGCCATCGGGCTCTAAGCTCTCCGACAATGTTCCCGGTGGTTTCTTTCCTTTCGTTTTCTTCCCTCCTCCTACCTGCACAGACGGAGTCCCCGCACGACTCTCATCCACATCCATCGGGGTGCCCTGTATTCTGTCTGCGGAGGTGCCCGCAACGCCATTTGCATCGTCTTGGTCGACGGTGACGAGCTCATCGTCCTTCTCGACGTCTATGTTCCAGTCCGTCTCATACTCTATGACGGTGGCGGCGGCCTTTGTGATCTGGTCCAGGGCGTAGCTTTCTATTCGCTCCGCTTCGGTGTAGTAGATCGACCCGAGAGGGTTGAATGTCTTCGCATTCGTGGTGACTAGTCTGACATCGGACTACGACAGAGAGGTCAGCACTAAGACTACCGGGAAGGGGATACGAAAGTGGGAGTTCCGTTCGCAAGTCAGGTGATGGATGTGGTCGGAAGAACGGAGTGTCTTCAGTAGAGGAGCGCGGTGCATCTGCATGATAGATTGGCGACGAAAACGATGCAGGCGCAGAGCTTCGCCTCCAGCCCGACGGGTTGGGGTGCGTAGCTCGGTGCGACAGAGACAGAGTCCCTTGATGCCGAGGACAGGTGGGTAGGAAGAGGAGGGACTTATGGGTAGGAAGCCGAAACGTACCGCGAACTCCTCCAGTGACCGGTATCTCCCCTTCTCCACCTTCGTGGATATAGTCCCAAAATCCATCGGCTTCGAGACAACATCGCTATAGCCCGGGACTTGTGTAGGGTCGACTGGCTGTAGGAAGAAGGCGTAGTCATCTTTCCTGCGGCGCAGACGCGAATCAATACGATAGGGGACACATGGCATACACAACAGAAGCACTCACTTCTTGATCTGCACGATAAGCTTCGACAAGACCTCCCTCAGTGGCTTGAGCTTGATCGGTCGAGGCTGTTTCTTCACGGGTTCCTCGTATGTGAGCTTGATCTTTTTCTTGCTCTTCTGGGCCTTGAGAGCGCTGAGCGGTGGCAGGACAAACGTAAGACCAGTCGAGGACTTGGATGCATGCTGCGAGCTCTCTGCGTGGTCGTCGTGTGTGGCGAAGGAGGTCGAGCTCATTTCTCACCTGCAGCAGTCGTTGAGGTTTGCGGTTCGGCGTAGCGGTCGCTTCCCGGCCGTGATTGGCTCACAATGGGTCCGTGAACCGGCCGGACCTCCGGAGGAAAAACGTGGGAATGTTCGGCGGAGACGGAGAGAGTCTGGCCGGTGGCGTGGCAGGCCTTGCACTGCCCACAGCCCGCAGCCCGCGTGGCAGGACGAAAGGCACTTCAATTACGTCATGGGTGCACTTGAGAAGCATGGCGCTGCGGCCTGCGGTTTCTCTAAGTACTCGTCCTGTTTCCCTCAAGCTCATCCAACTCGTTCCCGCACCCCTCCAGGACCGTTTTCCCCCTTGCCAAGTGGCTTTCTTTGCGTCCTCCAACAAGGGTGAGTATGATTGTCATATTTTGTCGAGGAAAGACAACGAGCTGCAGGTTGTGAGGGCTCGAAGCCGCGAACTCGAAGGCCGCCGAAGTGCGGAGCGAGAACGTGTCCGTGACGCAGATGCAGATCACGAAACTGTTTCTGTATTATGTTGTCATGGGCACTATCCTGCATATAGTCGTGACATTCCGAAGGGCCTCACCACACTTTGCTGAAGTCAAAGAGTGACCTGAGTGAGGCTACGATATACCACCATAATACGTTCCATAACCCTGAACATATGAAGCTGACCTACGCTCGGCAGATTTTTCGTTGAACTCAAATGTCTATCACGTCCCAACCCTTCGCGACCAATGCTCCCGTTGTAGCATTCCACGACCGCAACAACGAGAAGGCGTGCTCACACGAGGACCACGGCCACCAGTATGCGCAACTTCACGACTCTGAAGCACGTCGTTGCCGATGCAGCCGCGCCCGCAGTCGCCGCATTGCTATCACCATCCTTTTGGCCGCCTTTTCTATCCTCGCGCTTCTACTGGTTTCATGCCTGTGGGATGCGGCCTTCAACGAAGGATCCTGGCTGAACGCCCTCGGATTCGCGGATGACAGTAGCGAGAGCGCGTGGATGACGATAGGCAGTTTGGTAAAGAGGCAGTCTGATGGCACTAGCGGAAGTGGAGGCAATACCTTCGTGCACAACAAATGTCAGTGTGGTGATCTTGCAGCGCTTCAGCTGTTTCTCCTGCTTATGCTGACGCGCCATGACCAGTGTATTTGATCGTCGTCTTCGTTGGGCTCGTTCTCGTCGTCCTAGCCGCAATCTGCCTCAGTGCTTGGTGCTGTCGGGGTAGGTGTCGTGGCGCATTCTATGGGGTCCCCTGGCACGAGCTGATTGTCATGTCATCGTCTAGGAGCATTTGAGAATCCTCTATGCTGCCCGTGCTACGTGTGCGCCTGGTGCGGCGGTCTTGGTATGTCTCAAGTGATGTTCCTATGCTGTGTCAAGGAGTTAACAGTGCCTCTTAGCTTGCTTAGAGTGCATTGGATGCGGTCTGTGTGCGGAGGGCATCGACCAGATGTAATGTGCCACGCTTCGAACAACGCCGATCTACAAACGATCATGATCATGACATATACCATTTATTACATCACTGACGAACCTCTGGCGTAGCGCTCTTTTCTCGGGACTATATCGGACCTCATGGAACACTTGCATTTTGTCTGTGTATCTTGTTGTTGGTCCACTACACAGACACTTGGTGATTGCCATCATGCCTTCCAGTATTGTATTATTAGACCACCCATCAATACAATCTTCTATACACCACTGTATCTACGCTGCGCGGGTTCGATGGTTGACTCGCTTTGGTTCGTTTTCTACTGGTTGGTGATTAAAACCTATCATGCCCCCTAATTCTGAAGCATCAGTGAGTCACGTCCTGGGGATACGTGCAGCTTGAGCGCATACAGTTAGTCGTCCCGACCAGATGTCATCCATTGTATCACAAAGACGGAGTGACAGGAGTAGCAGTCCCCGACGCTGGCTGAGACACCGCCCCAGGACTGGGGGACGGCACGTCTCCCAACGGATCCTTCAAATAAGCCTTCAAGAAGTTGCGCCAGTTGGCTTTCGAAGGGACAAAGTGGCCTGCACGGCTGGCGTGAGATAATTCTACGCACATGCGTAGTGCATTGGCACATACCTCCGTCATGCCACTCTACGCGCTTGTTAGCAGAGACGTCGAGCAACGTCTTGGAGCGTTCCTCCACGACGATCACGTCCGTACGCCCGAGGATGTGAAGAGTCTGTGTCGAGTAGCTAGGCAGGAATATGGCGTCGCACAGTGGGCTCACCGGTCTGAAGCCGGCAGCCGCTATGCAGAACGTGCTGCATTATTTTTGTGATCAGATGATCGGCACAAGACGAGGTCCGGTGCGCTTACAAGGGCGGATGTGGGGGCTTCCCGTCAACGAGGAACGGAGGGAAAACCTCCGGCTTCTCGAGCTGCACGGAATATGAGCGGATGTTACGAATCTCGGGATCAAGCCTAAACCGGCTTACTAATGCGCTCATCAATGCAGCCATGGCTGCACCTTGGCTGTCGTAGGGACCGAGAGTCAGTGACTCAGATCTGTATGCCATGACTCCAACCTCGTCGCTTACCTAAACCCAAAGATGCCGTCGTAACGGTCCTTGAGGAGAAGGTCGCGGATTTGCAGTATCGAATCTTCCAAGCCTATCGTTTTCGTCCGAGCAGCATCGACCTGCCACCAGCCTCTAGGAAGCAATGCGGGATCCGAGTCTGTCGCCGCCTCCTGTGCTCCTAGCTGATCTAGAGAAGAGCTCTCTGAAGAGGAGCCGAACGCTTCGGCGAGGTCTGCGGGCGTGAGCACGTGTGGTGCGTCTATGAAAACTAGGAAACGGTCAGGGTCAACGAATTGCGTATATGCGTAGTCCGAGCAACTGCGTCAATACCAAGGTCGATGTCTTTTCCGCACGACTTGCGCAGAGCGCCCATCTGGACACGGTGGATTGAGCACACGTCCTGCGATGTGGATCACTTGAGCGTAGGCTCACCCTTTTGCTGAGAATGGTGGCACTCTGCGCATACCTAAGCCCGATAATGGCCGTGAGTATTGAACTACTATACGCGACCAGAGAAGCCACTGACCCATGAAGCATCAACACTTTCTTCGTCGAGTTGGCAGCCATGGTACAGGAGAACTTGGATAACAAGCGGGTACCTTCCAATCAGCGAACCCGACTAATTATAGGTAATCTGACATGTACAGCTTCCTTAGATCTAGATCATCGACCGGAACCCTCAAGCATGGTGAGTCACAGCACTGAGCAGATACAGAGGTGGCCGACGATTGCCAGAAATTTTGAAGCCTGTCAGACTTTTCCGAACAAACCCTTCGACTTCCGCGCTTCATGCATGTGGACGGCCGTCTGTGTCGTGAGGTGTCGTGTCGTTTGGCCTTCTCCAGGCAAAATCTGAATAGCTCCGCAACTCCGTGTCTCCGGCCAACACCGGATATGACGGAGATACGTTGGCCTGTTAGCGTGTGACGTCCTATGTTGTTCACTATGGTGTCGACTGGTATCTGTGTCGACTGGTATCTGATTGCACCGAACTGAGTGCAAAGAGAGATTTGAGAAAGCGCCAGGGTGCCGAGGCGAAGGGAAACGGGATCACGGGCGTCTACGTATCGGAAGGACATCGGAAAATCCCGGCTGACGTTGAACCTGCCGTTGGGCGCGCGTCTACCAACTTCCAGATATACCGCTCATAGATTCGCAATTGTGTGTAGTCGCCTTAGCTTCATGTATCATGACATAAACCACAAGTAACCATATGCATACTCTTGTAGAGGTGAGTTCTTGCCGATCCATTGCATGCACGGATGTTGAAGGGGCCACATCTTGATTAGAAAGCTATAATTTAACGTCCGACGCACTCAGAAGGTTTCATCAAGTGACAGGATGCCAACACCGCTCAGAATACCGAGGTAGGATGAAGGTTCGATCTGACGCGTATGTTAGCACTATTTTCCGGAAGTTGTAATCTCCCATTGGAGGAGATTATGCAAGGCCTCGGTGAAGGTCGGCTACAGGCCTAGCTAACGCTCCGCTTGAGTACCTTCGGGGCCGGGTCTTTTCCTGCGGTGAGCACGGAAAATTGGTCATCTGAGTCTGAGGTGAGACCATCAAGCCCATGCCAAACTTGCGGCGCCCAGAAGACATGACGACCGGAGGAGGTTTTCAGACTGCCACAGCACCTCTGATCGGTTCTCGGAACCTCCACCTCTTGAGCTTGACCCGCCAAGGTATCATCTAGCTATGTCACACAGAACATCGTCTTTCGAGATGCCCCGGATCCCCGAGATCCAAACTGGCTGTTGGTCTTCTCTCCTGCCTTTTATAGGAAAACCGAGAAGAGGACCCGTCGTACCTGATGCGAACCCTACGAAGGAGGTTCATCGCGACAACGAATCTCGTGAACTGGTACGTTTGACTGTGCGGCTCGGAATGTAGAGACTTGAATGTTTCTAGCCCCCTTACCAACACTTGTACGGCTGGGACGGATGGGAGAATACTTCTGGATCAACTCGAAGCTCAGCGGAGAATCCACCGGCATACACTGTCGACGATGGTTTGCCATCTCGAGTGGTTCAGGTTATAGAGGACCGTCTTAAAGAACTTTCGCCAAACCTTCGTCAGCTCAGCCTCGACATCTGGAGTACGTACAACCCACACTGACCTTTCTTGTCAATGTCCAAGATTTCTCTGACGAAACGTCTATAGATCACCCGGAGACGGCGTTCAAGGAGAAGTACGGAAAGCAAATTCTCCATTAACCGTCGCCCGTATTGACTGACATTTCACTGTAGGTATGCACATGACAGATTGACCGACTTCATGGCTTCACACGGGTTCTCGGTCACCCCTCACTACCTTGGGCTCTCCACAGCTTGGCGCGCGGAATTCACCCATCGTTCCCCGAAGAAAAGCGGAAGAGCTCAAGACCCGCTCCGCGTGATTGGCATTAACTCAGAAATGGACGCCCTTCCAAGCATCGGACACGGTTGTGGGCACAACCTGATTGCAATGTCAGGTGCCGCTGTGGCCGTGGCGATTAAGGCAGCGCTCGAGAAATACGACGTTCCGGGCGTCGTTGTTCTGCTCGGAACGCCCGCTGAAGAGACGCGGGGCGGAAAGACCATCCTCCTTGAGCGTGGCGCGTACGAGGGAATGGACGCCTGCATCATGTAAGTCTCGCTATCTCGGTCCGAGCAAAAGAGCTTTCCTCAGCCGCGCCGACGTAGGTGTCATCCTTCGTCCGGTCCGGACAACTTCACTGCCCTGGGGCCCGGCGTAGCTCGCCAGTCGGTTGACGTCGAGTTCTTCGGCCATGGGTAAGTGGGCTGATATGATCACGTATGCTTGAAGTCCTTACGATACGATGCCAGTGCTCATGCCGCAGCGGCTCCATGGGAGGCCCAGAACGCGCTCGACGCGGCTTTCGTTGCGTATGCGAGTATCTCCGCTCTACGACAGCAGATCAAACCAGACCATCGAGTACATGGTATCATTCTCGGGCGAGACTGGACTCCTAACGGTGCGTACATTGAGCCGCCAGTTTCGCGGGCACATCGCAGCTCACCAATGGCACAGTGATTCCAGACTATGCTAAAATGCGTTACTACGTCCGCGCTCCAACATGGGTAGAACTGGAAGCACTTCGAGGACGAGTCACCGCATGCTTCCAGTACGTTGCTCGTCCGCGAGCATGAGGGCCCTACACTCACAGTACTGCTAGGGCTGCAGCGTTGGCGACCGGATGTACAGTCGAGGTCAAGGCAGGCGCAGGGTACTTCGAAGTACGAAACAATAACGTCCTAGGTAGCACAGTCTCCGTTTCCTTGCAAACCTACGAGATCTTTCTGACGGCCCATGCTCTTCTAAGGCCAAGAATTCTTTCGAGTCGTCGAGAGCCAGTACGCTATGCGGACGAATTTTGGCGAAGGTGCTGCATACTCGACAGATTTCGTACGTATGACTCACAATATAAAGGCACGTCCGAAAAACTGACAATCGTTTCAAGGGAAACATCACATATGGTAAAGGAGCGCCACCTGCCACTCGCTTATATTTACTAACGACATCACAGCTCTGCCCGCTCTGCATCCTATATATTCCATCCCCACGGAGGCGAACGGTTCCAACCACACATCCCAATTCGCGAAGTCCGCAGCGACACCGGAAGCACATGAAGCAACTCTTAAAGTGGCCTTAGGTCTTGCAACTACTGGCTTCAAAATTCTACACGACGCAGAGTTCACAAGCCAAGTGAGTGATCCCGGCATATAAAACACGTCAGCACACGCTGACGAACATTGACCAGGTGAGGGAAGCTTTCGAAAGTTCGAAAGCGAGGAGTAGCATGTCGATAACAGGTGTGTAGGCATAGGTAGTTTTATTGGAGCGTGTATCAAAGAGTGTCCTTGGCGCGACTTGTTGGTCGACGAATATTCCCGTTCTCGAGGGTCAAACCTCCTGTGGCCACGCGAAGTGCATGCACCGGATTCTCGCATCAAATGATAGACACACGACACCACTCAACACTCTTTCGACGCATCCTCGCGCTTCACGAGTACCCTACTCCATGAATCACATCCAACTTTGCGCCCGATGCGTATCAACGGAAAGCAGTTTGGGACCGCCAGGCCGTCCAGCCGGCGTGGAATATGCTGCACGGATGAACGCTTGCACGGAGTCCTCGAAAATCCTCTTGCATTTCACCAACACAGTATAATCGTACAAGCACGGACATCACACCCCAATCAGCTCCCTTCGTCGGCCTCCTGCTCTCGAATCTCGCGCTCCAAGCGTTCACGCTCGGCTTGACGCATCCGCATCAGAGTTAGAGACTCGTAGTCGAGCCCTGGGACTGCGGTGGGTGCACTTGGGCGTGGAGGTGCAGCGTTGATGTCAGGCTAGACGGAGTGATGTTAGTGGCGAACGAAGAGCGTAGAAGACACCACGCACGAATGTCGAAGGGAACGACGAGAAGGTGCCGTTTGACGGTGGTGGTGGAGTCGCGGCCGTCGAAGCCACGGGGTTGTTGTCCTGGTGTGGCGCGAGCTTGTCCTTCCCCTTCCCCTTCCCTGCGCCGTTTGTGGCTTTGCCGAGCTGCCCCATCTTCTTCAACCATCCGATAAGCTCCGGCTCCTTGCCCTCCGCCCAAGAGATCTCAATGTCCTCGAGGCGATACTCTGGACGGCCGCTAGCGCACACGGCGGCGAACGCACCTCTAATCTGTTTAAAAGGCACGAGTGCAGTGCCACGCTTGGGCTTCTTGGGTGGCGCAGGCTTGAGGGAGAGAACGATGGACGGCTCGTCGACCGCGCCATGGGCTGCAAGGAGTGCGCCTAGCGCGCTCGCGTCTGTGAGAGTCGGATGCGCTGATAGCGTGTACTTCACGCGGACGGTAGTATCGAGGGGTCCTGCACGGCAACGTATCAATGGAGGAGGCTTCGAGCGAAATGTAGAGACGGACCTGACGGTGGAGGTTCCAGGATGGCGTCGGCAGCCTGCTGCGCTTTCCTCTCGAAAGCCTCTCGCTCCCGCTCCTTTCTTGTGAGCTCCTTCTCCCGCTCTTCCCTCAGCCGCCGTCCTTCCTCCATGATGCGCTCGTTCTCACGATATCTCTCTTGCTTCTCCGCCTCCTTCTCCACTCGCGCCCTCTTGAACGCCCTCTCGCTCTCCTCCAATTCTTCGACCAAGACCTTCCGTTTTGCGTCGTAGGTGGCGTACCTGGCCTTGCGCGCCTCCTTAATTCGGAGTTTGGCGTCCAGTGCCATGCGCCGAAGCGGATCGAGGAGGAGCTCTTGCGCTTGAACCAACTCATGGAACTTGCGAGCTGCAGGCGTTCGTCAGTCAGTAACCAGGAATGAGTGTGAGGTGAGCGCGGAGACGCACCCGCATCTGGATTACCACGGTTCTTCCACCATGAACTTGGTTAGAGACAAAGTTCAAGACGCGTGTGGGGGCATAAGCTGGAGGTTACACTTACACGATCCGGGTGGACTTTCAGAGACCTCTGCCTGTAGGCAGTCTTAATCTCTTGGTCCGTTGCTTCGATGGACAATCCTAGGAGTTCATAGGGGTTCACATCTTCATCTGACGACATTCTGACTATCGCAGGAAGAGAGGTTGGACGACGTAGAGGTGTGTTTGAGCAAAGTATGTGGCAGTAACTGAATGCAGCGCCGGCGTCGTCACGAGCCACGAGGCTCCGAAACGAACATTAATCGGGCAGCGCCGGCGGGTGTTACATAAGCTTGAGGTTCACAGATACGGAAGGTCCACGGTTTATGAGAACGTTTACGATTTCACGCAACTGGATACGTAGCAGGCTGCATAACCACGTATTCACGCAGTCGATTTGATGGCGAAGCTCGCCAAGCTCTGTGTGTATGCAGCCACGCAGTCGTGTAATTGCGCGTCTATTGTAAGTTGTAACTGGAGCGCCCTCCGGGCATCGCTCAAGCGCTCAAGCTTCAAGCTCAAGTCTATCCTTACATCCTGCAAACCCTTTGAGTAAGTAGGTACTGTAACCGCTGTTGCGACAATACCCTCATAGACGCCCAAATGGCTCCCACACTGGCGACTATGGTGCAGTTCACTTAAACGCCGCCACTTTTGTACACCGTTAAGCGCGCGCTTAAATGTCACGTGACTTGGCAGTACGGTCGAATCAAGTCCTTGCTCAGCGTGTCGGGTGGGGTCGGCGATGCTTGGGCCGCCACTGGAGTGACCGACTTACCAAGTATAGTATAGGTCATACCGACCACGATACAACATGTACAGTAGCACAATGATATCGATTGCAGTACTGCTAAGTATTCCTGTCCCTTGTGCCTACCGACAACATGCCTCGCCGAAAGAAAGCCCAGTTGGCCGCTGCCGCACGCGCTCAAGCAGGCCTCGCGAGGGCTCACCAGGCCGCCCAGATGGAAGCTCAAGCCCAAGAACCCTCTGTGGAGCCATTACCTGAAGACACGATAGCTTCCGAACCTTCCCATGACCCCTTCGAGGACGCCGATTTTCCCGAGTCCCCTCGCGATCTGCCCATAGTGGATTCCCCCGCGGCGGTAGAGTTCCCTGAAGATGCTGGACGAGGGGATCAGTCCGGGGAAGAGTCTGTTGAGGAGCTCGAAGGTGATGAGCTCCTCAAGAATCTGGAGAACGAAGCACAGTCAGCATATGTCAGGCTCTCGAGGCTGAAGAGCAGCCAGCAATGGACACAGGCAGAGAACAAGATTAGCCGGTATAGCCCCCCGTACTCTCCGCGACAACCGTCAGAAGGCGCATACAAAGGAGATGACTGACGCCGTGATTTGCGATTCGTGAGTAAAGCGCCTCCCACCAGACAAATAGAATCCCTCACTGTTACGGCGAAGCGCGTCAGCACTCAAGGGGTCGTGTGCAGGTTATGCACAACGAGGACGCAGACTGATGACAAGCTTAGTACACTGGTTCACTGGGGGTCTGGGGGTTCGAGGTCACTAGGGGTCTAGGGAGTGAGAACGCTTGATTGGTACAAGAGGTCAAACTGGGGTGCCCAGTGCAAGACCTGTCCTTATATACTAAAGTACGCGGTCGCTGACTAATCAGAGAACAATAGCGAATGGGGACAAAGGAGTCACGTGGTGTTGTGACCACGTAGTACAATGGCGAAAAGAACAATAGCGATGAGAACAATGGGGATATGAAGCATGGTGTTGGAACCATGGTAGGTACGAGTGTCCGGGTTGTGCCGTAAGAAGAGGGAATGCATGGTAGAGAGGATACGAGGAGAAAGGAAAGAAGAGACGCCCCCACAGGGCGTTTGTAACACTACCCCCCCGCTATAGTCGAGCTACACCTGAAGCTCGTGAGGGACGGGATGCGCATACGTGGACTAGACGTCGTTCTCGTCGTTGAGCGGGCCAAGATAGTCGTCGATCTCGCGTACCTCGCCGTCTTCATCACGACCGTACTTCGACTCCTGCTCGTGAAGGTAGGCCTCCCGCGAACCTCGGAACCCCTTCTCG